ATAGTCAGCCAGGTGTTCAAACTGGATTTGACATTATTGTCCACTTATTGAGTACAGGTAGTCCTTAACTTATCACAATTGAGCCCAAAATTTCTGTTTGCTAAGTGAAACATTTGTTAAGTGAATTTGCCCCATTTTACAACCTTTCTTGACATGTTAAGTGAATCACTGCGATTGTTACATTAGTAACATGGTTGTTACGTGAATCTGGTTCCTTATTTGACTATGCTTGTCAGAAGGTCACAAAAGGTGGTTACATGATGCTGATACACTGTAATCATCATAAATATAAGTCAATTGCCAACTGTCTGGATTTTGATCACATGTCCATGGCATGCTGCAACAGTCATGTGAAAAATGATTGTAAGTCACTTTTTCAGTGCTGTTGTAACTTCAAATAGTCACTAAATAAACTGTTGTAAGTAGAGGACTATCTGTACTTCCCAAGGATTTGGGATAGGCAGATGTGAATGTTTGATGATTTTAAAGGTATCATCACAGGATGTAAGCTGTGAAGCTTTTACAATTGACTGTTGGTGCTTTTATCAATGCCAATGGTGTTCAAGTTGTGGTCCAGTTGTGTTGAGATTGCACACCATGCACTTATTACTACTGGTACTTCCTTTGCTTTCTTTTGCCACAGTTATTTTATTTTTTTGTACTTTGTTATCTTCTCCAATTCATTCTCTTCTTTTCTGGGATATTAGGTGTTATTGTGAGGTGCCCTGTTGTTGGACAGCATACAAGTTTAATAAATTATTATTGTGGATCACAGAATATGTCAAAAGGTGAAGCATTCGAAGAAGAAAACTAAGGAACTGGATTAAACAAAAACAAAACTGGAAAGGTTTTGAAAATATGGCAAGAGAAGAAGAAGTATAAGGATTTATACACATAGTTCTTAATTTACAACCATAACAGAGCCTGGAATTACAATTGTTTTTCTGGCGTTTAAGTGAACAGCACAATTACTGACTGTAGCAATTGTTAACCAAATCCATTATATCCAATGGGCAAATTGCAGTACATAATCATGGGATGCTGCAAATCAGGGTGGATAATAATAGATGATTTTTTTAAAAAATCAGATTTTTAAAAATTTAAATCAGATTTTTTTATTTAAATCAGTCTTTTTTATTTTTATCAGATGAATTTTAATAAAATGCTTTTGGAGTAAAAATCTATCTAAATATAGTTTTCTATTTAAGATACATTAATAATTTAGTTTATTCAGCATGAGATGGAGCTTAGTTATGCAGCACGAGGCTGTATATTTTGCAATATTTACATTTTTGATAAAGTCATTCAGTGAATCCAAGCCTTTGCAAGCTGAGATAACATGCACTGCATTGATGCATTCACACAGTAACCATGAGATAAATCGTAAAACAAAGTTCAGGAATATTCTTTTATCCCATTGTTTTGCAAATCTTTTTTTTTTCCGCCAGAAGTTGGAAGGTCTGAGTGAAATTTTTTTAGTCCCACAAACTCTGTTTCCCTGCAGCAGGAGAGAAACGCACCACAGCTGGGAAGCAAGTTAGTGAAGAAATGCTTTAGGGAAGAGAGGAGCTTGGCGGTGGTGCACCAAACTCTATAGAAGCACAAAGAGAAGCGACAGGAAAAAGGGCTGCCATTTCCAGAATGGAGAAGGAAGATGCGGGGTGATGCATGTGGCAAGCAAAAACTCTTCTCTGCTCTGCATCACTGCGCAGAGCCACTCCCCTCTCCGTTCTCTCCAGTGATGGCAACAGAGGCCTGGCAGAGGGAGTGGGCGGAGGCTTGTGCTGCCAGCCATGGGAGAGTTGGTGGAGTAGGAGGTGGTGGCTGCCACGGGGCAGGTGATCTATGGGGTGAAGTGCAAAAAAAGCGAACAGCGGCAGCGAAGCCTTTCGCCATCATTCTCCCTGGCTCTGAAATGGCAGAGGGGGAACCGGGCCTATCCCACCCATCCTCCATAACATGATAATCTGGCTCAAGAGGGGGGTGAAAGGGAAGGTCGCCGAACAAGGAATGGCCTGGAAGGGGGGTGCTGAAGCGGGTATTGGGTACGTGGGGCAGCTTGACCTCCTCCCCCACTTGCCTTGCCTCGTTGTGGCAGCAGTGGTGCAACATGCGTTCTCCTGCCCCATTGCGGCAGCGAGGTGGGACAGAGTGGGTAGGGTCCTAACTAGGGCTTATTTTGGGGGTAGGGCTTATATTAGGGGAAATACTGTATGTGAAATTAACCTATTAACCTAAAATTGGTTCTGATATCCCTTTTTTACTAACCTGACAGCTTATTATTCTAAATAGGAAACCTTCATTTTGTTTGCAAATAATAATAATAAAAAAGATTCTAACTAACAGCAAGAATGAGTCCTTACATTTAAAGAACACCTATCATTTCAGATCCATCGCGGCAGCGCCTATTAGCGGGCATCTACTCACTTGCTGCCCTCCATATCCCTCACCTTGTTGTGTCACTGCTGCATCACTAGCCTTCCCATTAAAGTGAATGGGACTGTTGGTGAGTCAACAGTGTGTCAGAGATGACAGTTGCTCTTTAAAAATTATGATTTAAAATCAAGCCTTTTTACTAGTGATTAAAATCATGATTTAAATCAACTTGATATAAATCAAATCCATTCTGCTGCAAATGGCTGTAAGCACCTAAAATATGACCATGTGGTACAAATATGTTTGTGTGTGGCTGTTAAAACTTTGGAAATGGGTTATAAATATCTTTGATCCATTGTTATGGTCACTAAGGGACCCAATGTTAAGCAAGGACTATCAGAATGAACATTTTTTTAAGAGTGGTGAATGCAAACACATATTCACAAAATTTTCTAAATATAAAGTATTGCAAATATCAATGTGAGGCAAAAGATCAAGACCTGAGAAAGCATAGTAGTTAAGAGGTAACGATTTACAGTTTTCTGAAATTCTGTCAGAGTAAATTTTTCTAATAGTGTCAACAGAAAGAGGGAATTCCCCAAAGATGGCCGTTTTTAAAAATATGGAAATCAATTAATAGGTTATCTCTAATCACAAAATATTAGGCGTATAATTATATCAAAATATTACTCAGCCCGTGAATTTTGTTACAAATTGTATTTAGGGGGAAAGTCATTTAAACAAAACTTTTGCTCCATGGAATTATATTTTTAAATATTCTCATAAATAAACATTTGGTAACTTAGAAACTTCAATATTTCAGCTTCTATCAGTCCCAGTGAGCATGGCAAATGATAATAGATTTTGAAGCTTGCAGGCAGAGCTGTGAAGTAAAAAAAAAATCTGATACCTCCAGGGAGATTTGATAAAGAATCACTACCAGTTGACTATTCTGAGCTCAGTGAAACAATATTCTGCTTCAATAAGATTATTTACCAAAAACTGTTTCAGTTCTTGCAGATAGCAGCACAAATAAGCATAAAACCCAATTTTAATGTTACTAAATTATCATTTTAATGGTTGTTGCTCCAAAATAATTTTTCACATGATAGTTAAGAATAAATTCCTATTTCAATCCAGAGTCTTGTATAATAGGCACAGATCCTTTCATCTAAATTGGCACTTGGGTGATCAAATGCTTATGGATGGATGGAAATTATAAAATCTCAGAGAACAGGAAATTTAATGCACTGCAAATCACATGCTTGCAATTATTACTCACAGCACATTTCTACCTGCTGGCCTGCATATCCAAAAAAGCTGACCAATAGTAAGAAACACACTTAGTTTGACATATAAGAAAGCAGTTCTTTTGAGTAAAAAGTGAATAATGACTAAAACAGCAAATAAAAATGCATTCAATTCCCATTTTCGCTATAGACAATATACTGCTTACATAATTTGTACCGTATGAAAGAGGAAGAAATAGATATAATGCTCCTATGAGCGCTAAATGATTTAAGGAGCAGCTCAAAAGGCAATTTACTTACTGCAAATTCTGTACTGCGATGCTAATTTTGGACATCGTGCAAAACATTTACATATCTAGAGAAAGACCCTGGTGGTCCGAAAATATTGTTGACAACACCTCCCCACTTCTGAGGCAACACGATTTGAGATTTGGAGAATTATAGATTCCGCATTAGAAAGCAACTGATTGGGAAAGGCGGAATAGAGGGAGCCGCAGAACAAGATACAGCAACCTATAAAAAGACACCACCATTGTTTCCCACCTCACCTGAAACTACCGCTTCGGGTGGGAGCTTCCACTGCTTCTTCCTCCTGTTCTCCGGAGGATGCGGCCTGGGCCACGCCACTGGCTTCATCGTCCTCCACAATCACGTCACCTACTACAGGAAGCGCTGCAGCTGCAGCGCCACCGAGTCCTAATCCGGGCCGGCCATCACCTTCCGAAAACGCCGCCGCTTCCCTCAGGGGGACGCAAAGCGGCAAAAAAATCCAGAAGAGCACCAGGGCGGCGACGTTAGAGCGGGTGGCTGCGGAAGGAGCAGGCCGAACGCTTGGGCCTCGCGGCCCTGGCATGGAGGGGCCCTCCCTCCACTCCCCCAAAAGAGGTCGTTATGGCATAAACTCCTATTTGGCTCCACGCAGCTCCTTTCAATGGCCACCGAGGAAGATTTAATCTTTCCTCAGCAGACAGAGATTTCAAGTACGCACGCGCAAACTGCAACCTAACTTGCTTATAGTTTACCAATCCCACCCCTTGATAGCCACGTAACGGCGCACTTGTACACAACCTAGTTTGCTTGGCTTTGGTAATATGTTTTTGCTATTTTATCTATCCAGACTTTGGAGAGGTTCTATAAAAGAAAAGGGATGAGTACATGATAGGACGCATGTAAACAGAACCAATGAAAATGACGCTTTTTGGCTTTTGCCCACCAATAAAAAGGTTCGTGTCTCCAAGGTTTCCATGATTGGATTAAACAGCAACACTACTTTTGTGATTAACTTCCGCTCTTGATTGGAGAACGTGGAGATAGCTGGTGGAGTGCAGGGATTGGCTGTTCCTCTTTTCCTTTCCCTCTTGATTGGGCAAGGCGGATGCTTCCTACGTGGCCGATTTTGAGTGTTGATGGTATTCTCCAGAGCGGAGGGCTGGGGGAGGGACGCCTTAAAGAAACCGTATCTGTTAAACCGCATGGGGTTACAGAAGGTAAAAATGTCCCTGACATAACATTTAACAGTTCTTTCATTTCTGGCCGGGACGAAATAAGGAATATTCATATATTTCTGTTTATAGAAATTATAATTCTACATAGGAAAGTGGATCTGAGGACAATCAAAGCTGATCTGCACGCACAACGGAACGAGTTGAGAAATTCCCAGAGAATATATTTAAATGCTGATGGTTTCCTGCAATTAAAACTTCGTTCACTGGAAAAGTGGAGAGAACTACACGTTTTTTTAACAGATGCCCTAGTTTTAGTTGCTTTTGGGGTTTATTTGCAAAGGAGTCTTCATATGAGGAACTCAGACCCCTCAATTGCTGCCTACAATGGTTCCACCCAGTGTTAGGACTATGACGCTCTTTCAAATGCCGAGTCTAACGTTTTTTTATAGAGGTGACTGGATTGAATTTGCACCTGTGAAGGACCGAAACATCTTAAGAAGTTAAAAACAACTTTGCTACCTGCGATTTGAATCATAGCAACAGTGATGGCCTTTATCTCTAGTGGTGCATTCCGCTCCCATGGCTAAAAACTTTCTATACGCAGTATTTGATGAATAAACATGAGAGAATTATGCAGTCCTCAAAAAAGAATCAAGAAATAACAGCACCCCGTAATTTGGCCACATGAAATATACATTCGTTTGTAAAAAAATGTTATTTGTTAAGAGTGGCAATGCAATAGATTACTGTAGATCTAATATGAGAAGGGAATACAAATTGATTATGTGCCATCAAGTCGCTGTCGACTTCTAGAGGCCACATAAATTTATATTCTTGTGTATTTAAAAGATTTTTTCATTCCATTTCATTTATGAAAATTCAGTCCCTCCAATTTGAAAGAAAATTCTGTCCATATAGACCATATATATACAATTTTTCTCCTTATAGAAATAATTTCCGATCACAGAAATCGTAACCAAAGAGGTTTAGAAGATCAGATTTGCACGAGATGCAGAGATCTACTCGAACCCCAATTACTGAGGATATTTAATCTTAGAGATGTCAGATGTGTTTGATACTAATATCTGGCAAAAAGGTATTTAAAAAGTACATAAATACATTATTGTGTGAATAAATGATTAACCGTGTAGTAGCTGATCAACTCATTGTGACTAAAATACACCTGCTCCTATTACCAGAAAGATTTTTTAAAAAGTCTTTGCGTTCAAAACAGCTGAATGATGGGATGCAGCAGTCGTTTGGGGAGGAGGGGGGCGCTCAAATCTGTAAACGGTAGTCTAAATCTCACGTGCGCCTATGTAAGCGTTTGTGAGGCATCCTGAATCGTGAAATGTCCCGCTGGTGGTTCGGGGCAATCGCAAGAGCCAAGGTGCAGCAGCCCGAGGCGGAGAGAGAGGCGACGGCCGGGCGGGGTCAGCGTCATGCGGCACAGTACGGAGCTTCTCATTTTTCTCTACAGGACACTGCTGGCGGAAGGAAGAATCGAATCGAGAGTTCTGCGGAAAAAGCGCGGGCTAAACCCTAGGCTGTTGAGCAGCAGCCACGGGAGCAAGAATATGACCGAAGAAGCCAAAAAGCTGGCTGCCTTGGCTGCTATAAACAATCACGTGCAGGTAGGGAGTTAATTTTGCAAGGAAGTACATTCCTTCACTATTGTTTTTGGAATTGTTGCTTTTACCAAATGTTTTAAAAATTATAAAAATCGTATTCTGACATTTATAGACGAATGCAATTAATTTTCTTCATGACAAAAATGCGAGCTGATTTACAGATTTTATGGGTGCCGAAACTGCCACTTGTTCTGAAGTTGGATGAAGATTCTGAATAGATCTGTGGCAAAGGGCTCGTCCTACGCTGTGATCCTCAGGAGTACTTTCGCCATTGGAATTGGATTTGCTTAAATTTGTAGTTCATAGTCATCTGAAACATTTTGACCCATATTATTAGTTAGATGATTCCATTTGTTCTAAAAATGATCCGTAGATTTGTCTGGCGCTGTAATTTGCGTTACTATCCTTGCAAATAAAATACTTTATTTATTTAATTCTGGATACTGGATACTAAGTTACTGATCAAACTCTTCACATGTTGGCTTTTCAGGCAACAAATTTTTAATGCACAAAGCACAGTTATGAAAAGCAGTTGTTTGAAATTGATGTGGTACACACACTATTTAGATATATTAAGTTAACTAGTAGCTAATTACATTTATTAACTATATAGATATTATTTTACTTTAGAGAAATTGGGGTTTGGTGTATATTCTTTTTTTTTTTTGTTTCCTAAATGTTCACAGAAGAAGAATTAGGTTTTTAGCCTGAACTCTTTTGTTTAAATTGACTGTATGAAATATGTTTTTGTCTCATTGAAGCCAGACAATAACTGCTTGAAAGAAGTATGTCATTATGCTGTTCAGTAAAGGTGTGATACAATTTCTGTGTTGATTTACAAAAGCAAATATTTACGCTCCTTTGTAGACTGATCATGTTGTTGGAATTGGAAGTGGATCTACAATTGTTCATGCTGTACAAAAATTAGGTATGTATTACTATTACTCTTTTTTTGCCATATGTATTTATTGTTTTGCAGAGTAAAATAGTTGGAGTACCTGCTTTGAAGGAATTCTTGAAGATGATCCCAGAATAGTAAACTTTCCTTTACAAAGCTTATTTATACTTTATTAAATTGATTTCCATCTTCCATCTAATACTGCAGTGAACAAAAGCCAGACTGATTCTAGAAACATTAAAAATCCTTTTAAGTTATATATCAGTCGAGTCCTACACATGATACAAACTAAAATGAAAAATTCTGGGCTCCACTTGCCATTAATTCTTTTATGTACACAAAAACAAGTCTCCAAATTGTTATAGGTTTTAGAGTATTATACTCTTCAGTTGTATAATACTGTACTTTAAATGTATAGGTATTTCTTGACTTAAAACTGGTTGCTTAGTGAATGAAGTTAATAACTGATCTGAATTATGACCAGATTCAGAGTTCCAATGGATGGATGGATGGATTCCTCCTTTGCAGTTCTCGTGACCAGACTTTGGACACTCATCAACAAAGTTCCATTTACAGCCATTAGCAGTATCCTGTGGTCATGTAACTATTTTATGATATGTTTTGCTGAAATCCAGCATTTCCTGTTTTCAGGAAAACTGCATTTAGACAGCAGTGGCGGTTTAGTAACTACAAAAATAAAAATCATAAAATAGGGTCAATGACATTACTGACCATTTTATAAAGATTATGGCATACAACTGTAATAGGCTGCTATTAACTTATATCGGGTCTTCAAACTTGGCCCTTTTATGACGTTGTGGGTTTTCACGCGCCCAGCAGGTCTCCCATGAGTGTAGAAGAACAGACACGAACACGTGGTTTCCTCGGGATGGGAGCCCCGAACAAAGCCGAAGCATCCCTTTTATTGCGTTATCAGAAGGCGGGTTTATATGTACCTCGTGATTACATCACACCAATCACACTGTCACAACACAGCATATTAGCATATTACACGTGCTACAGCTTTGTTTTGCTCACACCCCTATACAGCTGTTACACCCGGCACCAACAATGCACCAAACACATTCCTTTGCACCGCACGGCACTTCTTGGTATTCTCCCGAACTTTTTGACTTCCGACTTCCTTATACCTTGGCCTACTGCAGTTGATGACTCAGCCTAGCAGGCGAGATAATCCAATAACTCCAACATCTCCTCCTTTTCTGTTTTATTTAAAAATAAGGAGGGAGCGCTTTATACAAAGTCATCCTCAGTGTCGCTTGGCAAGGTGAAGGCCAGTTTGGTTAGCAGGGGTTGCTGAACTGCAGTTATAGGTGTAGTTACTAAATTGACCTGTTGATGGGTGACAGTTCCTGAGGAAAATTTTTTAAACATCATAAACAAAGAGGGCAAACATTGAATACAACAACATATCAAAACTAAAATAACCACAATAGTTATAATAACAGAAACCAATGATCGCAGCCAGGTTCCGTCGGGTAGCCAAGACCATAGGGCATCCCAAATGTTTATTGCGCCAGATCCGTCGGATTGTAACGGATTATGACGAACCATGTCTTCCATATGCTCAATGGTACCTGTGATATTGGCTTTATAATCAGAGATATAAACACAACAATGAGAATGGATTAAGGCACATATTCCTCCTTTCGAGGCAAGGATAATGTCTAAAGCATAACGATTTTGCAGAACAATCTCTCGTATTTCTGCCACTTCCTTGTTTAACAATTTGGAAGTCTGAATGGTAGCGTTGAACATGTGCCTAGTCCAATTATTTAATGCATAGATGTCTCTGTAATTCATGGCTACCCCCAGAGATAGAATAAGAGATCGTGCAACTTGCGTTCCTGTATTGCCGGGTCCTCCCAGGCCATTTTCAAGATCTCTTCGATTGCACAAACGGCCTGAAGGTGGCTGATCTGACACAAAAACTGAGGGAGCAAGAAAGCCCAATGTACAACGGCCGGACCACCGTGGAGGTATACGTTGATATGCCCGCCGGCCACAAAGCATCCAGACATTACTTAATATATTTGTAGTCATGCTGGAGCTTTGCACAGTTTGGCAAACCATGGCTCTTACAAGACTGCAAAGGAAGACTGTGGACGTCGTGTCCGTGTTGCCGGGGTGACATCCTGTTGATAGCGAGCATCCGGTTATTTGATAGGTACACATATATTCAGAAAAATCATCAAGGGATTCAAAAAGAGGAATTTTCTTAGAGTGATGTGGTCTAGTCATGTTGTTTGAAAGTTGAAATGTGACGTCACAATATGGGTATCTGCCTACTAAAGCAGGGTTTTTAACGATGTTCTTATATTCCCAACAAAACGCTGCCTTTTCCTGGATTCTGCTTCCTATTGTGTATACCGTATAATTCACCATAGCATTGGAAAGGGTCCCTCTAGACCAGGGAAATTGTTTCCAACCAGTTGTATTAAAAGGCACCGCATGCATAAAAAGTCCCCCCTCCTCCAAGGTTGGAATATGCATGCACATCCAACACTCAGTCTTGTTCAAAAGACGAGAAATATTCTGCACATCCTTCATAAAAGAGTTGTGGGCCCAGGGTCCATGGTTGTCCGACGTCTTGTTAGGATGGTGGAGATTGAACCAAATAAGGACGAACACAGCGAGCTGGAGTCCAAATGATTTTGCCATGATCATCTACCGCAGCGTAGCCTCTCCCCCAGGTAATAAGCTCTGCAGGACCTTTCCACGTGGGGTCTGGAAGCCGTCAATAGTAAACTGGAGGTCTTGACGTAGGGGGGGGGACTGTTGAAAAATGACGAGAGGCAGCTGTTGATGATGGATCGCCCGTCAGATTTAAAAAATTCACTGTATAAAGACACAAGTTAAGAGTGTTTTGCACTGCTGGGAGGCCAGGGGCGATTTTCCCCTTTTCATTTAAATATCGATTGAGAGCTGTTTTTAATGTTTGATTTGCTCGCTCAACCAAGGCTTGACCTTGGCTATTATATGGAATGCCAAACTTATGAACAATGGACCATTTTGTACAAAATTCTGCAAAAGCAGAGCTAATATAAGCAGGCCCGTTGTCTGTCTTTAATTCTTTGGTGCGTCCCAACGATGCAAATGACCGAATACAGTGATTGATAACATGTTTAGTGGCCTCAACCCTTTGGGGGGAAGCCATAATGAAGCCAGAATATGTATCAATAGAAACATGAAGATATTTCCATGGGGCAAAGGGAGGATATTGAGTAACATCCATTTGCCAAATTTGACAGCTCTCCAAGCCACGAGGATTTACTCCAAGTGGTATTGAGTGTGCTTGCTTGCTACAGGTTGGACATTGCTGAACGATGGCAGCAGCTTCAGCAGCTGAAAGATTAAATTGTTTGATTAATGCTTTCTTATTCTGATGGAAATAGGAATGACTTTCCCAGGGAGTTAAAAAGGTGAGTGGCATATTAAGAGGTGTTTGTGAGGCGGCAGCATCGGCAACATCATTGCCTTCTTGGAGTGGGCCTGGAAAAGGCTGATGGCTACGAATATGGGCAACAAAAAATGGGTGCTTCCAATCGTTTACGAGATGTTGCAAGTCCAAAAATAATGTTAACAGATCCATAGAGACATTCAGTGCCAAATAAGAGTCAAAAATGGCTTTGACAATTTGGGTAACATATAAACTGTCCAGGATCAGATTAAAGGGTTGATCTTTAAAATGAAAAAATGCCATCGTGGCCGCCACTAGCTCAGAGCGCTGAGCCGACGTCTGTGGGGGGGTGATTTTTGTACGCCACTTCCCCTCCTCTTTCCAAGCACAGGCTCCATGAGTCTTGCTGCCGTCGGCAAACACCGTTATTGCTTCTTTTAAAGGGAAAGGAGCACAAGGAGATTGCCATTTAAATGGGACTGTTTTTAATAAAAAAATGCGAGGATCTGATGGTGGATGACAAGACACTTCTCCTGGCCAATCAGCAAGTGCTTGCTGCAAAGGTTCATAGTTGGCCAACAAACTTTCCCAAGCCGTTAGCGAACAAGGGACATATAAAAAGGACGGTTCAACACCCCCTAAACCTTTGCCTTAAAGCGAGATTTTGTTATAAGCTGAGCAAAGAGCGTATGTTTCTGTGAAATGGTGTTCTTCGGGGTGTGAGATAAGTGGATCCATTCTACAATCATCATTTTTATATTAGACACGATCTGAGCCAAAGCTGCCGTAGGAAGGTCAACGGTGTTAAAAATTAACATAGAAAAAGGCATATCGGGCTGAACACAATAGACCCATACTTTTGACAATGCATGCTGAATGATGTCACAAGTTTTAAGTTGTTGTTGAGTTAACACGATCTTATCTCCTGGATTTTTTCCCTGCGTAAGAGCAGAGAACAATGGAGCCAATTGAGAGGTGGTTAGTCCCATATAGGGACGGGCCCAATTAATTGATCCTAAATATTATTGAAGTTGGACTGAGGTCGGGCATGGCGGAAGACACAACTTAGACAGCTGAGGCTCGGCGTGTGAGGCCAAAAGCTTGTGCCCAAGTACAGAAAGGGGTGTTTAAGCTGAATTTTTTCAGGCGAAATAAAAAACCCATTTGTTTGAAAAATGGAGGTTAGAACAGGCAAGGTTGCTGAGACCGTACCTGAGGGCCCTGGAGCTGCCACTAAAATATCATCCATATAATGGTAAATTTTAAAATGAGGAAACTTGTCCCGATATGGTCTTAAAACCTGATTGACAACATATTGACACATTGTAGGACTGTTTAGCATCCCTTGAGGCAAGACAGTCCATTGATATCTGGTCGTGGGCTTGGAGTTATTCATTTCGGGCACAGTAAAGGCAAATAAGTGTTTGTCCTCTGGGTTGTAGTGGAATAGAGAAAAATGCATCTTTTAGATCTATAACCATCAGGTCATAGTCTTTTGGTATCAAATTAGGATTAGGTAAACCGCATTGGAGCGCCCCCATGGGGCGAATGATCTTATTGACGACTCTTAGATCGTGCAAAAATCTCCATTTTCCAGATTTTTTTCTTTATGACAAACACCGGAGTATTATAAGGACTCAATGAGGGTTCAATGCGTTTTAACTCTAATTGTTGATCTACCAATTGCACCAGAGCGGTTAATTTTTCTTTGATTAATGGCCACTGATCCACCCAAACTGGGGTGTCAGTCAAGAGGTTTAACTTTATTAACTGAGACATCTTAATCCAAAATTAATTTTGCATTGAACTGACTCATCAAGTCCCGACCCCGCAGATTAATATGAAGCGGAAGAATGACAGGTTTAATGTGAGCAGTGACTGATGTTTCTTTCGAGGTCACGGGAAGCCAGTGTTTGCTCACGCATGCGTGCTGGACTCCTCCCACTCCCCGAACCAACGGTGCGCTGTCGGTCTGCCACTCAGAGGGCCACTCCTCCTCTCTTATGACCGATACGTCAGCTCCGGTATCTAGAATACCAAAAAAGGAGCGTCCATTGACTTGAAAGGCCATAGAGGGGCGGAACGTTTTAATTTCTTGCTCAATCGCCAAAACTTGCGGTTGTTGGGGCACAGGGACAGCAGTTGCCACTATCGTTCCCTCGAGCACAGTCATGGGAGTGTTAGGGGTAAATGCCAAAGCGACTGATGTAAAGTCAGCTGGGTCTTTCAAAAATGGCATAGCCGTTACTCCCTGCATAATAAAGTCACGGTGAGGAAACACTAACAGAGGGGTGTCACAATCAGGGGGAAAAGGGACAGACGGCCGGATTGGCAAAAAATACGACAGCCCGGATAAGCCTGTGGTTATTGTCTCGGAGGCCACCAGGAGAAAATGATAAGATTCAGCCTTTGAGGCGGGGCTAGCTGAATGCCCCAGCTCTAGTTTCCCGGTTTCTGGGAATCAGCGGCCATAGGGTTGGAGCGACACTGGTTTGCCCAGTGAAACCCCTTTTTACAGCGCGGGCAAACGGTTTTTGGTCTGGCTCCCACTCCCCTGCTTTTATTAGCCCCCCCCGGGGCCCGGCACTGATTTTTAAAATGACCAGTCTTCCCGCAATTAAAACAGTTACCAGCTTTACCCGCAGGTTGCCCATTATTACTTCCTGCTCTTTGTAAGGCCATAGCCAAAGTTTCCATGTTAAATGCATTGGTCCCCACAATTCTACAGGCTTGAATATAGTCTGCCAATCCTGCATCAGGTTTGCTCATTAAGGGCTGCAGGACCCGTCTACACCCCTCATTAGCATTTTCAAAGGCAAGTTTTTTCAACAACTCCTCTTGGGCTATTCCATTTGTGATTTCCCTAGATATGGCCTTTTGTAACTGATCCACAAATTCCCCATAGGGCTGATTAGACCCTTGAAAAATCTTTACAAAAGAGCCTTTTGTTCCCCTCTGCGGATCATCAACCCGAGTCAGGGCAGCGTGAGCGGCGAGGGCTGCATGAGAATAAAACAAAGGATTCATGGCTTGTTGAGCGGCCAGGTGACTATAATTTCCATTCCCTGTTAGCTGGTCTACTGTTGGCTGATTACGGCCACGCCAAGCTAAAACAATCTTCTGACATTCTTTTTTCCATTCCGATTCCCAAACCACATATTGTGAAGACGTTAAAATCATATGGAATAGCCCTTTCCAATCTTCAGGCAACAAATAAAAAGTAGAGGCCATGTGACCTATCAGACCCAAGGTATAATGGCTAGAAATCCCATAGCTTGATGCTGCTTGTTTTATTTCTCTAATAGTTTTCATGGGGATAGTTTCATATCTGCGATTGCCTGTGGTTGGATCAATAAAAACAGGCGCGCAAAATTGATATTCTTCAGGTTGCAGTTCCCCTTTTTCATGAGCTTCGGCCAGTGCCCTAGAGATGGCACTGGCAGGGGAAGGCAGCACGTTAATGCTCCTTTGTTCTTTTTCTCCCTCATTCATTGGTGCGGATGGCTCAAGAGGCACATCGGCTTGGTAAACGGCCAAGGAGGATTTTTCTTTTGCACTCTGTCCCTTTTTTAAATCATCAGGCTTTTCAGAGTTATAGGCAGGCGGGGGGTTTACGGGCTTTTCAGAGTTATAGGCAGGCGGGGGGTCTACCCTCCCCTTCTCTGTTTTCATGGCATCTTCATGCACCTGGAGACATTCAAGAACAATTCACCATATAGACAAAATTTTTGGAGGGGCTCGAGGAGGTTCATGAAAATACTTTCCCAATTTAACCCACACCGACACTTTTAGGGATCCTCCTTCGGGATATACAAGACAATTTTGATATATATATTTTAAGAGGAGGGTCAAATCCCCTTTAGTGGGAAGCAGCAAATCTTTCCCATTGTTTTTCAAAACAATTATTGATGACTTGGTCAATTCCCTAAGTTCTGAGAGGTGCACAACCTGAGGTTTAGAGAATCCTGCCCCCATACTCACGATAATGTTTTGGGAGGGTGCTTCGTCTAGTCCTGATGACCGGCCCTGAGTTGCAGTAGGCTCTTCCGCCGAGTGGGTAAGAGGTTGCCAAGAGACGCGCTCAGAAACATGAATCACGTCGGGGTCACCAGTTGTGGGTTTTCACACTGTCACAACACAGCATATTAGCATATTACACGTGCTACAGCTTTGTTTTGCTCACACCCCTATACAGCTGTTACACCCGGCACCAACAACGCACCAAACACGTTCCTTTGCACCGCACAGCACTTCTTGGTATTCTCCCGAACTTTTTGACTTCCGACTTCCTTATACCTTGGCCTACTGCAGCTGATGACTCAGCCTAGCAGGCCAGATAATCCAATAACTCCAACAACTTGTGGACTTCAACTCCCAGAATTCCTCAGCCAGGCATGCTGGCTGAGGAATTATGGGAGTTGAAGTCCACAAGTCATAAAAGGGCCAAGTTTGAAGACTTCTGACTTATATCATACATTGAGGACTAGTTATACATAAATTTGAGGCAGTGATGTGATGGCTGTCACTGCATTAACTTACAGGACTATTGGAGAAATTTTTCATTTCAAAAATTTTAATTAACCAACATTAATTGAATGATTGTTATTAGTTATTCAGTCTATTAGAAGGGTTTTGGGCATATTACTGGATAATACAAGATAAGGCTCTTTTTCTACAAAATAAGTTATATGTGACAATTGCTATTTTCTACCAATGTAGGCACTGAGAATGATCAAATGTTGTGTAAATTTCTGAGAATAGTGAAATGCAATCCAAATTCCTCTTGAAATGGCCTCCCATGACTATGCAGTCTGCACAGGCCCTTCCCTGGTCTCCCCTGCCCATGGCACCCAGACACTCCTTACCTGAGACTTCCAATGATGTGGACATATGACATCACATTTTATGACTGCATGCTAACATTGGCAACACCAGTCCTAATTGCTGTCATATCCCAAGCACTATCTGTAGTAGGAATTTATAGGAATAGAAGGCTCAGGTAACACACCTCCTGTTAAAATATTTCATTAGTATTAATTTTGACAAAATGTCACGTTGATAATTGAAAAACTATTTCTAAGTGTAAGGAAAAAGTTTATTCCATCTTTTTTGGGTGGTTTCTGATTATAAGAGTTAAATAATAATTTCCACTTTTGTTCTCTTTATGATTACATTAGATAAGTTTCCCCATTATCATTGTTTTATTTATTTAACAATGGATCCCTTACAACACTCAGCAATAAGAACAAAATTAACAGAAACAAGAAAGAGGAAACCAGGTATGGACACAAACTACCCCAGGACTCAAAGATACACCGAAATAAAGCTATTTTGAGGTTTCTCCTATAGATAAGATTAGTAGGACCAATTACACTACAGTGTGAGGCAGGGACATAGAGGACAAATACCTGGAATCTTATCTCTGGAATCTCCCCTTTGGGGAGGTACCATAGATAAGAAGGAAATGGTCCCTTAAGGCAGTGTTTCCCAAACTTGACAATTTTAAGGCATGTGGACTTCAACTCCCAGAATTCCACAGCCAGCATTGCTGGCTGTGGAATTCTGGGAGTTGAAGTCCTCATGCCTTAAAATTGTCAAGTTTGGGAAACACTGCCTTAAGGAATCAAAAGAAGCAAGCAAAGGAAGTTGGGTCTGAGCCCACAGAAATCCTCAGTTCCAACTACAGCTACCAGATACAGTGGATTCTACCTTGTGCCTGGCATTTTAGCTGAAGATGTGTTTGTGTGTGTGTGTGAGAGAGAGAAAATGAGAAAATGTACATTATAATCAGTACCCTTGCTGCTATTTAAAATTCAGCAGGTCTTTCTGTATCTCAAAGAACCTGATACTGCCTCAGTATTTGTTTGAAAGTGCTTTGCTTATGTTCCTCATTATTCCAGCTGTTGACTAGGGCTATTCATCTTGTCTTATGTAGCCAATATAGCAAGATATAAATAAATAAATAAGCCTAGTACAGAGCATTTTTTAAATAGAGACATTTCAGCAGAGATCTATTAATATGGATTATTGTTAATGGTTTACATCTTCAGTAAATACAATAATTTTTCTTCTACAGCTGAGAGGGTCAAAAAAGAGAATCTCAACATAGTTTGTATACCTACCTCTTTTCAGGTAAATTCTTTCTTTTAACAATTTATTGACCATTAGTAAATCACTTGCTGTTCTTATCTTGAAAATTTCGGTTCAGATTTCTAAGTTGCATTGAATTCATGGGGATTGACTTTTGAGTAGACCTATCTAAGTCTTGTCTAGCCATTCCATCCACTTACTTTTTTGTCCTTAGTGCTTACTGTGTCATTTATACACTCTTATAGTACATTCCCTTTCCCCTTAACTGCAGCGGGTCAGGAAGGAAAATTTCTAGAATGCTGAAGAGAAGGTGCCCACAGTTAAAGGCCTTAATCAAACTTAAATGAAGATATTAAGAGAGGTTGCTAGGCTCTTGTATCAGCATTTACCATCTCTGTCTCCCAATCTCAAACATCAGATAGATCACACACAGATTAATCTATGTATGAATGGATCTTTGAAGAACCTAAAATTTAGGAGAATGATTATTGACTAATTGCCCCAGGAATCTATTTCTTCATGGAAACTAGTACATATGTATATTCCCATGCCTATATATGCAGTTTTTATTGGCTTTGATTCTATAATATGAGTGAATCTCTTTATTAGCTGTAGACCAGTGGTTCTCAACCTGTGGGTCGGGACCCCATTTGGGGTCGAACGACCATTTCACGGGGGTCGCCAAACAATGCAGTCCGCCATTTTTCCCCCCTTTTCCTTAGCTGTGCTACTCCCTTTTATTCTATTGGCTTTTGAAAGCCAATAGAATAGACTCTCTTGAATAGAATCTAATTCTATTGGCTTTCAAAAGCCAATAGGAATTGTCCAGGTTGTCTCTGCCCTGCTGAGCCCGCCAAAAGTCCCATTCTGCAAACGGTGCTGCACCAGTTGAGTAGTCCTTGATTTACGACTGGTTGAGTAGTCTTCGACATACGACCGGTTGGGGGTCGCGGCATTAAAAAGGTTGAGAACCATTGCTGTAGACTATGACAAAATACATTCAATAAAACATTTTTAAAATAGGAATAAAAATAACATTCCAAATATTTATCAATATTGAGAAATAATATTGCCTTTTATTTCCCTGTAGGCACGTCAATTGATTCTGCAGAATGGCTTGACCTTAAGTGATTTAGACAGACATCCTGAAGTAAGTTGGTTAGATTATTCTTAGACACTTTGTCCCATTATCCAGTTCTCAGTGCTTTTTAGTGATTTTAATGTGCATTTAATCATCAACATGAAAGAAATTAACAGATTATTTAAAACCTTGACTGTGTCAATTCAAAGTGACTTCTTTCCCCCCATCCTATAGCTCAACCAACATTTACAACTTTGTACATAAATATCTTTTGGGAGTACATTATCGTCCTAATGGTTTTAATTCAATCATAATTTATTCAAAGATTTTCATAAATGAATAATTCCAAACATTCAGAATATAATTTAACAAAACATTGATATATTTGATCGCTATTTCACCCCCCCCCAAAGAATCTAGTTCATCATAATAGTCATATCCAATCAATAAGGAATTCCCAATAAATAGAAGTGATAATTGGCATTGTGTGTGTGTGTGTGTGTATGTATGTACACTTTCTCTGTATATAGTTTGATGTCATGTTCATTTTTACATCAATTCTACGCCACAGATTTAGAAATGTTTTTGTCCCAATGTCTCCTTTGATCTGCTTAATACAATTTTCACCAGTCCTCTGGAACTATACCATTTTGCCAATATTTATTAAACAATGTTACCACTTCTTTCACCACAAGCTGGTTTTAAGATCTTTGAGGTTATCTCATCTAAGCCAGTTCTCTCATTGTTTTTAAGGCTTTTAATCACTATTTTTATTTCTTCAATTGTAATTTCATCAGTATTCACCTAAAGCTCTTATAGGGCACACTCTTCATTAAAATTCTATAGAGAGAGTGGGTTTGGCTAATTAAGAGTTTCCTGAAAGTGTTCAACCCATCTTTTATTTTGCTCGTCTTGGATGACCAGAAACTGAGCAAGGCTTGAACAGTAAATAAATTCTAAATCTTCCTAAGATACTCAGAAACATCATTTCCAACAGATGATTTGATATAAGAATGTAATAGAAGCATGGATGGTTTGTTAGGATAGAAAGTTACAATGAATGTTGTTAGTGTAAACTTAAATAGATATTGTTTAAAAAAACCTCTAATATTTGATTTACTTTATGTATTACTATTAACTCTTTTTCATGTTTTGCTAATGTTGCTTACCTCAAAAGAGAATAGTATGATGGGTATATCTATGTTGATGACTTAGAGTACCCGGAGGATAGTTTGTGTATTGTGGTGGTCATCTTAATTGGCTTGCCCTCCAGACATGTAATTCCCAGAATTGCCCCTTGATCCTGTTAGCTGGATATTCTAGGAACTGTAGTTACAGCATATGATAGGATGGATAAGGTCCTTTTCATGGATGTCAACTCTTTCCAACCAGACATGTGAAACTCACAGAATACCAATGTAATAATTTTACAATGTACCTTTGTATTAAAAAAAAAAAAAAAAACAACTTACCGGGAAGACTCCCTGGAACCTATTGTTTTCATTTTAGAACCATATAAAGAGATCTTTCTAACTGCCTGCTTTTTAAATATCAAATATTTTTATCTAGCTTCCTTCTCGTTATTCCCTGCCATAATACTTCTACTGTTTTTACTATTCCTGTTAGATGTTCCTAAGCCTGGTTCTCAATTGGTATAGAATTACTAGAATTACTTTCTTTTAGGTCTGGCAAATCATTCAACAAGATTATGCCTCGTTGCTATGTGTTTCTATTTTGGGGGGGGGGGTATTGTGTATTTTGTGTATTTTAGTTTTTTATTTAAGCCAGATGGGCAGCTATATGGAATGAATAAACTTATTTTATTGACTAATTGATTGAATGACACCTACAGCCAGAAGACTTTTAAAGCAGTCATTTGATTTTTTTACCTTTGACAAGTAGATCTAAAGGGCTGCCTTATTAAAGGATTTGGCAGGCCTACTTTCCTCCTAGTAGAAGTGTTTTGTGTATGTATTACAAATTGTTCTTTTTTATGTAGTTGAATGTTGCTATTGATGGAGCTGATGAAGTTGACTCAGACCTCACTCTCATCAAAGGAGGAGGGTAAGAATGATTTCTATTTTTGTATTCATTGATAATCAACCAGATAAAATATGTGAGTGTCTCTCCAGTAGTATATATTGTTTTGATCTGAAAGATAAAATTTGTAGCTTTATAAGTTAATGTCTCATTATTAAATTGCTGAAGGTAAACTGTAATATTTGCTTGAGGACTATATAGAAGACTATATAAGTCAAACAGGTTGGGAAATATTAATGTAAGGACTGTTGTAAGGACTAAATGTTCTACTGCTGAGCTGGGGCTCTTACCTGCATTATTGAAAGAATGAGCACGATGATCCAAGGAAATTATCTTATCCCAGGGCACACCCTGGTTTGTGTGACCAAATCTTTTCCAAAATGAGGCAGACATCAAAACCGACGGATTTCAGTGTGTGTTGACATTGTGTGATTAGAACCCTTTCCTGCAGATTTAGAAACAAGACAAATAGTTGAAAAATGCAACCTAGTTTTGCCACCTCCCCATAACACTTCTGCAAATGTCTCTGTTTTTGTTCTGATATTTGTAAACAAAGTTCTAAAATGATATCTATCAAGTATCAGAAATTCAAAACATTTTTTTCAGCTGCTATGGGATGGAAAGTAGCATTGAATATTATTTTGCTTTAAAATGAGAGATTTACAGAAATATTTGCATGGATTTTATTTTAGGAAGAAAACTATCCTGCACAATTTTCAGTGTTCATCTTTAATAATGGGTTTAAGAATTAGAGTAAATATAGGAAAAGGATCACATATTATAGAAATATGTCTGTCACATGTCCACAGCTTAGTAACTCCTATTGATTTCAGCAGAATTTAAGTATAAAAATGTTTTTATGTTTATAAACAGTATTTTTTACTGAGGTCATCTATTTGGACAGGGTATGTGTATGTACTAATCCTGTTATATTTCAAAAATTGACCATATTTTGTCCACAGCGATGAAAATTCGTAAAATTCATGATATCTGATTTAGAGATATAGGAGGCTGGTAGGACAAATTTTTTTTCAACTTAAATGCTAAAATCCTGTATCAAGATTTGGGGTTTTATTTCATTGTTAAAAATGGTGTTGGATGCTTTTTTCAAAAATTGACCATATTTGTCCATGGCGATGAAAATTTGTAAAATTTGTGATGCCTAGTTCAAGGGTTTAGGTGGCTGAGAGGACAAAAAAATTTTCAACCTAAATGCTAAACAGTTCCTCTATTAGGATTTGGGGTTTTATTTGGTAACAGCGATGATGATCTCATTTTTTATGAATATTATGATGAATTAATATGACTTGTGGGTAAAGGAAAATAAATATGCTTAGATTTAAATTTGGTATTAACCTTCTGATTAGTTTGTGTGAGCTTGAACTGTTCTTTTATTCTTCAGGGGTTGCCTGACGCAGGAGAAGATAGTTGCTGGTTGTGCAAAAAGCTTCATAGTTATTGCTGATTACAGGTAAAATGACTTAGTGTTCCTTGTTGTGGTTTCCCCTTTTAAGAAGCTGCAGAAAGGGCTGTGTTTATTCATAGCAGGTTTTCATATAAATTTATATCAGAGTGATATATCCAATCTAGTTTTACTTAAGCTGTTAGGGGTTGAAATGTTGCATTATGTCATGTCCCCATGTATGAAGTTTTAACAAGAATTGGATGTAAGATTCTCTTTTTTTTTTTACGTAGAGTATATCCGGTGTGGTATTTTTACTTTCTATAATCACCAGGTGTCAGTACTTCATTGGTTTTCTTCTCAATTAGGCCATGTCAAACTTGTCTAGATAGATATGGGTCCCTATATCCTATTTCCTGATGGTCTCTGTAAAATAAAAACACCTGAGCTTATGTGTAACTTCACAAATATATATATACTGCTCACAAAAATAAAGGGAACACAAACGTATAGGATCCTATACATTTGTGTTCCCTTTATTTTTGTGAGCAGTATATTTTTATATATCTCATTTACAGAAAGTCCTCAACTTAACAATCAGAATCAGACTGGAAAATTGTTAAGTGCAGTTATTAAGTGAGGCATCATGTAACTTTACAATCTTTTTTGTCACGGCCATTAAGCAAGACATCAAGTGACTTCCCCTTTTGTCTTCCCCATTGACTTTGCTTTTTGGAAGACATCTGGGAAGATCACAAATGGCAATCAGATGAGTGCAGGATGCTGCAACAGTTGTGAGAGATAGTTGCCAAGTGCCCGGATTGTGATCATGTGACATCCTGCAATAGTTGTAAGTGCAAGGATTGGTTGTATATTGGAAGTGCCATCAGAATTTCAGGTGGTCGCTAAATGAGTGGTCGTAAGTCAAGGACTATATTAACATAGTCAATATAAAAGCATACACATTTATTACACATGTAAAATGTTTTCATGCTGACATAGTGTTGTCTTGCTTAGTCTTCTATGTTTCCTGAACACACTGCTATATAATGAATTGCTCATCCTCTCAAAACAGCTCAGATGTTGGTTATAATCAGCAATGTCCTAGATAGTCACACACACAAATCTGAAATTGTATATCATCTCTTGACCATGTGCCTTTCTATTTGTTGGTACTTTAAAGGCAATGTGTTCTGGCTTTCAGAAATAAAGTCAGGATATCTCAGCAAGTTGAAGTTCGTTTGTAGATTCCTGCTGTTATTACTATCATAATATTATTTTATTATGTACATCTTCTTTTAACCCATATTCTTGTAGAAAAAAGTCTAAAAACCTTGGAGAACAGTGGAAAAAGGGGATTCCTATTGAAGTTATTCCAATGGCCTATGTGCCCATCATTAAGCTTCTGACCAATAAATTTGGAGGTATTACAGAGTTGAGGATGGCTGTCAATAAAGCTGTATGTATAGTTATGAAATTCATAATCTATATGGTATAGAACAATTACTAATTCTTTTCAGAGTGGGTGGACAGGTAAACCTTTGCTATTAATAAATTATTAGCTTTAGAACTTCCGGTTTTGCGCGGTAGCAACTGATCACAAGCTTGCGGATTCTCTGCACCCCCACAGCTAATTTTGCCCTGCCAGGGGACACTAAATGGTCTAAGTCGCCCTGGAGAGGCGACAAAGAAAGAAGGATGCTCCAGCGATTCTGGAACAGCAGCAGCCGTTTCGTTCACCTTCTAACCGATAGGATAAAGGTTGGCTGTACTTCATTGACCAGCCCAAGCTATTTGCAACCGAAGTCCAAAAGTACTAACCAGCACAACTGTGAACAGTGTGTTTGAAACTGGGTGAGGAATTTCTATGCTATATTTAATTTCCCGGAAAAGATCCCCAAAAAGCAAAATACCTCCAAAAGGGAAGGAGGGGGATTTCTTCTCCACCCTTATCCTAATGGAAGCGGCAAATTAATCTTTTTATGGAGGATCAACATATATGGAAGTGAAATAAATATAAAACCTGAAATTTAAAACTTAAATCTGGATAAATCTAAAATTGTTGAATGGTTAAGTCTCTCATTCTAAAGATAATTGTTCATTTTGGAAATTGAAAAACAAATAGATGCTGACACTTGGTGGTGGATGAGGACTATGACAGCTATGATTTTCATATAAGACTTGGCAAAACCTGGGAAAAGCTGTGTTTGTAACCTTCAAAGCTTTAACAACAAAGAACAACTGTGACAAAAAAAGACAATCTGGGCTGTAGACAAAGAGAATTATAAATTTCAGAAAAAAAAATCTTTTTTGAACTATTTGGATTACAAATATCTATTAATCGGGACTCTAAAGCTATTTGCAGAGAAAAGAAAAGAGAAAAACTCAAATTCTTGGCCATCATGGATCAGAGACATGTAGAAAGAACATATCAAGAAAACCTAAATACTCCACAGGAGGAGTATACTGCAACTAATTCAAACAACAATGATTTTAAACCACAAAGAAATCCAAAATAACTTCGAAAATATAATAATAATAACAACAACAACATCAAGTCCAACCACTTGCTCAGGCAGGAAACCCTATACCGGGGGTAGGCAATATTAGCTCTTTTATGACTCGTGGACTTCAACTCCCAGAATTCCTGAGCCAACCCTATACCATTTCGGATAAATGACTGTCCAGTCTCTTCTTAAAAACTTTAAAACTTCCAGTGTTGAAACATTCACCACTCCTGGAGGCAGGTTGTTCAACTGTTTAATTGTTCTAACTGTCAGGAAATTTCTCCTTAGTTCAAGGTTGCTTCTCTCCTTGATTAGTTTCCATCTGTTGCTTCTTGTCCTGCCTTCAGTTGCTTTGGAGAATAGCTTGACTCCCTCTTCTTTGTGGCAGCCCGAGATATTGGAACACTGCTATCATGTCCCCCTTCGTCCTTCTCTTCGTTAAAACCAGACATAGCAAATTCCAGCAACAGTTCCTTATATGTTTTAGCCTCCAGGCTCCTAATCATCTTTGTTGCTCTTCTCTGTACTCTTTCTAGAGTCTCAACATCTTTTTTACATCGTGGTGACCAAAACTGGATGCCGTATTCCAAGTGTGGCCTTACCAACGCATTGTAAAGTGGTATTAATGCTTTATGTGATCTTGATTCTATCACTCTGTTAATGCAGCCCAGTACTGTATTGGCTTTTTGGGCAGCTGCAGCACACTTCTGGCTCATATTTAAGTGATTGTCCATTAGGACTCCGAGATCCCTCTCACAGTTACTAATATTGAGCAAAGTACCCCCTATATTATACCTGTACATTTGGTTTTTCTTGCCTAAATGTAGAATCTTACTTTTTTCACCATTGAATTTCATTTTGTTAGATAGCGCCTAGTGTTCAAGTCTGTCCAGATCACAGGTTGGCAACCTGTGGCTCCAGAGCCGCATGCGGTTCTTTGAGCCTTCCCCTGTGGCTCCCAACCTCCTCTGCCATTTGCAGAGAGAGACAGAGACAGAGAGAGGCAATTGCGCTTCCTTGCTTTTCTTTCTCTCTCTCTCTCTCTCTCTCTCTCTCTCTCTCTCTCTCTCTCTCTCTCTCTCTCTCTCTGTTTGTGTAAAAAAAAGAGAGTGGACTCACGATGTTCTCCAAGAGCTGAAATGCTTACTGGGCGGAGCTCCTCCCTTTGCTGCGTCTCTGCAGGAAGCAGGAAGGGCAGGAGAGAGCTAGCTAGCCCAGCTATGCTGTCTCAGGAATTCTGGGAGTTGAAGTCCATGAGTCATAAAAGAGCCGAGGTTGCCTACCCCTGAGCTTGTTGGAGAACAGCTTGAAGCCAGCTTGCCAGGTGAGCAGTGGATAGGAGAGAAGGAGAGAGGGGGAGAGAGAAAGAGAGAGGGGGAGGGGGAGAGAGAGAGAGAAAGAAAGAGTGGGGGAAGAGGACTGGCAGACCAAGGGCAGATAGAGAGGGAGAGAAAGACCCTTTTGACATCTAAAATGAAGATAACACTGCATATATCCTTTTTTATCTGTTTGTGTGTGTGTGTGTGTGTGTGTGTGTATACATACACACACACACACAAATGCATACATATACACACACACAAACACACACGTATAATAAAGGTAAAAGATATATGCAGTGTTATCTTCATTTTAGATATCAAAAGGGTTCTGCGGCTCCCGATGTTTTGTTTTCGGTGGGAAATGGGTCCAAGTGGCTCTTTGAGTGTTTTGGGTTGCCTACCCCTGGTCCAGATCCTCCTGTATCTTAAACCTGTCTTCTGGAGTGTTGGCTATTCCTGCCAGGTTGGTGTCATCCGCAAATTTGATGAGTTCCCCATCTATCCCCTCATCCAAATCATTGATGAAGATGTTGAAGAACACTGGGCCCAGAACAGCCCTGGGGCACCCCACTACACACTTCCCTCCATGTAGATGCAGTTCCATTGAGGACCACACACTGAGTATGGCCAGTCAGCCAGCTACGAATCCATCTGGTGATGATGCTGTCTAACCCACACATTTTTCTATCTTATTGAGTAGTAGGTTGTGATCTACTTTATCAAATGCCTTACTGAAGTCCAAGTAAATTATATCCACAGCATTCCTCTGATCCATTAATTTTGTAACTTGGTCAAGCAATGCAATAAGATTTGTCTGGCATGATCTGTTTTTGACAAACCCATGTTGGCTTTTAGTAATGACTTTGTTTGCCTCTAAGTGTTCGCTGATTCATTGTTTGATTATCTTTTCCAGAATCTTCCCAGGCATTGAGGTCAGGCTGATAAGTCTGTAGTTTCCTGGATCTATTTTTTTTTTTTTTTTTTTTTTTTGGAAGATGGGAACTACATCAAGCTCTTTTCCAGTCCTCCAGTAGTTCCCCAGTGCTCCAGGATCTTTAAAAAATATAGTTCAGTGGTTCTGAGATCACATCTGCCAGTTCCTTGAGAACCTTGGGGTGTAATCCATTTGGTTCTGGTGATTTGAACTTGTCTAGGCTGGACAGGTGCTCACTTACTATTTTCTTGCCTGTCTTAACTTGTGTTTCTATTCTGTTTTTTATGGCACTATTTTTGATAGGCTGGTCTGTTTTTTCCCTTTGTGTAAAGACAGATGCAAAAAATGAGTTAAATAGTTCTGCTTTCTCCTTATTGCTCGTCACCTTCTTGCCACTTTCACCCACTAATGGACCAATCATTTCCTTCACTTTTTTCTTGTTTTTTACATGTTGAAAAAAGCTTTTTTTGTTATTTTTGACTTTGGTTGCAAGCCTTAGTTCATTATGAGCCTTAGCTTTCCTCACTTCATCTTTGCAGGCTCAGGCTATTTGCTGATATTATGACTTACTTATGTGCCCCTCTTTCCACTTTCTATACTTGTCCTTTTTATCTTTCAATTTATCAGAGAGTTCTTTATGTAGCCATGCTGGTTTATTTTGAGAGCTGTTATTTTTCCTCTTTGTTGGTATTCTGCTAGACTGGGCTTTTATTATCTCACTTTTCAAAATTTCCCAAGCTTGAGTTGTTTTCCCCTTGAGGATTCTCATCCATGGAATCCTGGGATGTTCTGTATCAATTAACTCACTGTCGCCGCTGTTTAGTTTAAATATTCCTCCAGAAAGTCTGTGAATTTATAGCCGAGTAACACAGTCCCTTTCTTTGATGGATGCAAACTATCTCTTTTGTACATTTTTTCATTGGACCAGCTACTGATATCGTGACTAATATATCCAAAGCATTCCCCTTTATACCACTCCTTTAGCCACATACTGACTTGTGCTATACTCTGGCCTTTTCCATTTTGCTCCTTATACACTAGTAAAACCTCTGAAAAAGTAAGCCTATAGCCTATTCTGCTAAGTTCCTGCCCCAAGCTCTGGAAATATTCTGCACAGAGAGTACATCTTTTTGGGATAGATGGTTAGTGCTAAGAGGTACAATAACCTACACATCACAGTCCTTGCTGGCATTCTTGGTTATTTTAGAAATACACTTCTTGTCCCTACTGGCAGTAGCACCTGGAAGACACCTGACCTCTTTTGAAACCTCTGTGTCCTTTCCTAAATTTACATCCCTTATAATTAAATCACCAACCAGAAGGTGGCTTCTCTTTTAGGATGCATTTTGGTCCTTGCATAACTGATGTGTAATCAATCTATTTCCAAGTTAACTTTACAACAAAAAAATTCCCAGAAAACAACAACAGAGTAGAAGCAGATAAAATAGATAAATGGATACAAAATTGAGAATAGAGACTTAAAGATGGAACTTAAAACAAGGAAACATGATTTAATCCTAGTGGGAAAAAAATTCACAAGAATTGGAAAAAACAATTTATTCCTTAAGACTACAAAATAAATCTGAGGACAAGAAAACAGATTGGATAAAACGGACTGTAGAGATGCCAGGAACATCGGAGAGAAGAAATGATAAGAGAAATGGAGAGAAAGAGAAAAGAAAAAGATTTTCAACAAAAATGTAAAGGCAGAAGCCCCGTACAAAGATACTTCACCTGATTTACTTTTTATATCTACAGTAACATTTACAAACATGGAAAAACCTTTCAACTCAGCAAAACACATTGATCAAGAAAAATACTGGGCAAAGGAAAAAGATCAAAGTGGAAATCAAGAAAATAGATGATGGGACCTACCAGAGAGAATACTTTAAAAAAGAAACATTTGTTTGAATATGGTTAAAGAAATAGGAAAGATTTTGAATATATATGTCATTCTAAGAGGGATGAATCCCCTAAATAATATAGTATGCTTTTCCCCCCTTTTTATTCTATTTCTTGATATGAGTAATATAAAAAAGTTGAAATGGCTTAGTTAAAAGAAATGTTTTAGATATTTAAATGTGATTGAATTTAAGAAAATTATAATGGATAAAATGTTTTGAATAAGAGTTAATGGACTAGATGACGTATGTATTAAATGGAATACTTAAAGATGAAACATTTTTAATTATGGTTAAAAAGAATAAGAAATCTTGGAAACAAGTATATATTAGATTAGGAGGGATATATATTTTAAATAGTATGCTATTTTTTAGGTTTCTTTATTTTTGCTTTCCTTTCTTTTCTTTCTTTTCACTGTTTTATCTATTCCTTAAGAAACGTAAAAGTGCTAAAATGGTTCATATGGAAAAAAAAAAATTCATATGGAATTTTTTTTTAAATGTAATTAATTTTTGAGAAAATTTTAACCAGTAAGAATACTTAGAATTTTGTGGGAGAAACAAATTTAAATAAGGACTGTAACAGGATCTATGATAAGGCAACCAGAATGATTGGATAGAAAAGAAATATTATATTGATGTGATTATTATTTTTAGGAATATTGGAAAAATTATATATTTAATTGTTATCTATTAAAACAATAAGAATTGTATTAACTCAGTGTTTGCAAAAGAGGACATTTTGGGGAAAAGACGAAATCAACTAAAACCATTATGTGGATTATGGATTATTGAAATAGTTATTTTTTTACAAATGTAAAACCAGACAACACACTGTTCACCAATTATTAAGTGATTTATGTTTTAAAAAATCAATAAAATATATTACAAAAATAAATAAATAAATTATTAGCTTTGCAGAGGTCAGGATGGGCCAATCTTATGCAAGATTTACTTGCATAAATCTTTGTTTACTGAGTTTTGCAACATATCAGCTAGAATAATACATTTGTTGTTCCAGTTTTTTAACTTATTGTAAACCTTGGGATTGGCTTTTAAAATATTGTACAGTTCCTAGTTGGCTTCTACTAGCACATTTCAGAGCTCAGACCAAAATAATCTTTCACTCCTCCTTTCCATTTCCAGGAAGGGATATTATAGCATCCTGACTATTTTGAAAATGAAAACAGAGATCTGGGCAACAATAGTACTCCTAACAAGCAATTATTCTCTTCAAAATGTCACATGCAGGAGCGCCACTATTGTAAAAAGTAAAGTTGATTTTCTTAAGGGGCCAAAAGCCTATTGCAGCTTCTCAAGTTCAAGCCTATAGTAAAATTTTAGCTTAGGAATAATTTTAACCGGCCTATGCCAGCTCAGTGCCCTTCAGATATTTTATTTTTGAAATGTTTAATTTGTCCAATGGCCAAATTCTTTAGAAAGGTTACAGTAAAACACAGTAAAATACGATCTAAATAAAAACATACATAATTAAAAAATAAAAATATAAAACTGTAATATAAATAGGCAGTAATATGATAGTCAAAACATAAGCACTAAAATTGCTGAAAGGCCTGAACAAATAAACAATTTCTCTGGTGCTGAAAGGACATACAAAGAACAGTTGCAGGAATTGGGTATGTCTAGTCTAGTGAAAAGAAGGACTAGGGGTGACATGATAGTAGCGTTCCAATATTTGAAGGGCTGCCACAAGGAAGAGGGGTTTAACCTATTTTCCAAAGTACCTGAAAATAGGACAAGAAACAATGAATGGAACAATGGATGGAAACTATCTTAGAACTAAGGAGAAATTTCCTGTCAGTGAGAACAATTAACCAGTGGAATGGCTTGCCTCCAGAAATTGTGGGTGCTCCATCACTGGCAGTTTTTAAGAAGAAATTGCATAGCCAATTGTCCAGAATGATATAGAGCAGGGGTAGGAACCTTGGCTCTTTTATGACTCGTGGACTTCAACTCCCAGAATTCCTGAGCCAGCACAGCTGGGCTAGCCAGTTCTCTCCTGCACTGAGCTGGCATAGGCCGGTTAAAATTATTCCTAAGCTAAAATTTTACTATAGGCTTGAACTTGGAGAAGCTGCAATAGGCTTTTGGTCCTTAAGAAAATTAACTTTAATTGTCCAGAATGATATAGAGCAGGGGTAGGCAACCTTGGCTCTTTTATGACTCGTGGACTTCAACTCCCAGAATTCCTGAGCCAGCACAGCTGGGCTAGCCAGTTCTCTCCTGCACTGAGCTGGCATAGGCCGGTTAAAATTATTCCTAAGCTAAAATTTTACTATAGGCTTGAACTTGGAGAAGCTGCAATAGGCTTTTGGTCCTTAAGAAAATTAACTTTAATTGTCCAGAATGATATAGAGCAGGGGTAGGAACCTTGGCTCTTTTATGACTCGTGGACTTCAACTCCCAGAATTCCTGAGCCAGCACAGCTGGGCTAGCCAGTTCTCTCCTGCACTGAGCTGGCATAGGCCGGTTAAAATTATTCCTAGCTAAAATTTTACTATAGGCTTGAACTTGGAGAAGCTGCAATAGGCTTTTGGTCCTTAAGAAAATTAACTTTAATTGTCCAGAATGATATAGAGCAGGGGTAGGCAACCTTGGCTCTTTTATGACTCGTGGACTTCAACTCCCAGAATTCCTGAGCCAGCTGTGCTGGCTCAGGAATTCTGGGAGTTGAAGTCCACGAGTCATAAAAGAGCCAAGGTTGCCTACCCCTGGTATAGAGTCTCCTGCTTGAGCAGGGAGTTGGACTATAAGGATAGGTATTCTTGTTCTGTGATTTGCTTCCATTCTGTTGTCTTATGTCTAGGAGTTACACTATATTAACAAATCTATGTATGATTTTTGCAGATTAGTTTTAGATAAATATTCACATACAGGTCACTTTAGATGTGTTTGATTTATAACTCAAAATAAAAGATCTTGTGCGTAATATTTTTTACTTTTGCTTTTTAGGGGCCTGTGGTGACAGACAATGGGAATTTTTTATTGGACTGGAAATTTGATAAAGTCCATAATTGGAATGAAATGAATATAGCAATCAAGATGATACCAGGTGGCCTTCACATACCATTTAGTTTTAATAGTGCAAAGGATTAATTTTGGGTCTCTGAATTATTGTAGTACTTTCAAAAGCAATTAGGTATATTACCCTTATGTGTTCAATGTCTTAAGATTGGAGCAAAATTGAAACTTTCAAAGATTAAATTTATTCTTTTGGTTTAGTTCTGTAAAATCTGTAGCAAGCTGATAGCTAAAAGGTGATTTTTTTTTCAAATTATAACCAAAAATGCGAGGTATGTTATTAAAGAAATTGTGAAAATTACTGCATCTGTGGGTAACAGTGTTGTTTCATGAAAATAAGTCGTGTCACCAATGTAAAATTTAGCACTTTTTGTTCATTTTCTCAGTTAGTTTATGTCTGGAGTTTTAATTTTTATTGGGCAAAGCTGTTGTATAGTTTTTACAATATGAGTTAGATAATTATAAAATAACCCCTTATGGGTACTCATAAGTACTTGGGCAGTAAGGGAACCTGCTTCTGATAAAAGTGCTTGGTGTACTGTTTGGATGTTGCATTGCATAAAATCTCAATCTGCTTATCCTATAGGACTAATATATATAATATAAAGTGATTTTCAAGTAGACATCAAAAATCTTCCCAACTGCCTTGTCTGGCTTCTCTTGCTCACAGTTTGAGGCTACAGTTCTTATTTCTTTTGCTTCTTTTTTTCTGTGAAAAAATCAATGAGACACATCTGGAGAAAAAAAAAGGATGGTGGGCAAATGTCAACTTTGCTTTTGCTTCTAAATTATCTCAAGATGAACATTATCGGGAAAAAAAGAAAATGTATTTTCTTGACTCCTTTTCCCCGTTCTCACCCTTCAACAATCCAAGGCAGTAGAAAAGAAGTTCCTTGGTGCAATACTTCTCAACCTCAGCAACTTCAAGATGCAAAGACCTGGAATTCTGGGAGTTGAAGTCTGCACAACTTAATTGTTGAGGTTGAGAAATACTGCCCTGGTGTATGTTGTGTTTTAATATAGGATTTTCATTTTTGAAGCTTTCAGTATATTTCATCTCAGTTAGATTTATACCATTAAGGTATGAATATTATTTAATATGCAGTATTTTAATAATAATTAAAAGTAATTGAACTTTTCTGTTTTAGGAGTGGTGGAAACAGGTCTCTTCATCAATATGGCAGAGAGGGTTTACTTTGGCATGGAAGATGGTTCTGTTAGTGTACATGAAAAGCCAGTTCACTGATTTCTTACAATTATTCAGTTCTGCTCTGCTATCTTGTTATCATGATGCCAGCCTGACAACTTGCCTTAAACCATTCGGTCTGAATCTCAGTGAATGGAGTTAAAAGATCCAGAGAATGTCATCTTAAAATCTATTTTTTAATGTAATTTTTAAAAAGTGATCATAATTTTGAATGTTTCAAACTTTTTATTTTTTATATAATTTACAAAAAAGTTACTGTGCAATATTGGAATATTTTGACAGCAGTGCATTATGAGGGGAAGAAAGTAAATAAAATATATGATATGGTTGAATCCAAAAAACCCAAGGCGTATTTATGTGAAAGGGCTGTATTCATCTAGAAATCATTTTGGTTCTATATTTTATGCCTTTAAAATGATTTTAATCATTATTTTTAATTAGATAATGTCTTGTTATATTCTTTACAATGCGACTAATATTTCAACAGTTGATTTTTGTAATCTAAATTAAAATTTAATTTCTGCCTAAAACTGACTTAACTATATTTTGCATCTCCTTAATTGTTCACATGTTGCCATGAGAATATGAAAAACAGATTGCGTGTCTAGACATTTCTAGCCAACGTCATTGACACCAGTCAATAATGACTTGAACTTATTCATATCAATACTGTGGGCAAGCCAATTTTCAAATGTTTCTGAAACAGTTTGGAAGAAGTCTTGCCACAAAGATTGCTAAGGCACTATGAATAATATATTTATTAGCCACAATTTTAATGTGAAAATTCAGTAGTCCATTATTTCTAGTAGCAAAAGATTCCAGTCTGTTGTAATAGTTATTTATGGATATAATTTGGGATTCAATTCTTATTAAGAGCTGAGAATTGTTAATCCTTACATGGTGGTGTAGATGCTGTAACTAAACTCAGACAAAATTGGGTATGTCTAGTTTAACGAAGATAAGGACGAGGGGGGACATGATAGCAGTGTTCCAATATCTCAGGGGCTGCCACAAAGAAGAGGGAGTCAAGCTATTCTCCAAGGCACCTGAAAGCAGGACGAGAAGCAACGGATGGAAACTGATCAAGGAAAGAAGCAACTTAGAACTAAGGAGAAGCTTCCTGACAGATAGAACAATTAACCAGTGGAACAATCTGCCTCCAGAAGCGGTGAATGCTCCAACGCTGGAAGTTTTTAAGAAGAGACTGGACAGCCATTTGTCCGAAATGGTATAGGCTTTCCTGTCTGAGCAGAGGATTGGACTCGATGACCTCCAAGGTCCCTTCCAACTTTATTATTAACTATAAATGTAGCAAGAATAAATCACTTGAGTCATATTTTATTCCTTAATGCGTTGCCTGATCAAAAATATGATTTGATACTTCATCTGTTGTAGCATTTAAATAAAGTAATGCAGTGCCAGCCATGTGATTGTATGTTTGAATGACTTTCTGGTTGATTTTCTAAAAAAAGGCTTGTAGGATAATGCCAGTGGTTTTCTTTTCTCCATCCTTCTACTCTAATACAAAGTCTCCACCCTTTTGGGCAGCAGGGACCGGTTAGGTTTTTCTGCGGACAGGAGGGAGCATGGTTTTGTGTGCTACATTCCGCGGATGGGGCTTTGCTTGTTTGTGCAAACCAGTTGCTGGCATGTCACGGCCCGGTACCGGTCCACAGACTGGGGGTTTGGGGACCCCTACTCTAATAGCCAGCTTGTTAGAAAACCACAAATAAGATAGGGAAGTGATAGAATATCCTTAGTTCTTTATTCTTTTAATGCACCCAATGCAAAAAGATCATTTTGCTGTATTTTTAATACAGCAAATTTTTAATGTATTTAAAATGTATTTAACCCTACAATTGTTTTTTATTTCATTGTTTTTATTATAACAGATAAAAATAGATTAATAAAAGTATTTTGTGCCTATTATTCCCAAATTAGTGGGCAGAATCTTCAGGATGTCTAATCTGATTCTTTGCTTATTCATGCTCCTTATGACTTTTTAATGGGATTCATGCCCTTCCCAGGAGGTGGTGGATAACTGTAACGTCAACTTCTTTAAGGGAGGGGATGATTTGTCCCTTCCTCAAGAAGCGATCACTGCACCCATTGGACAACTTTGTCTCTTCTTACTGAGAAAGTGGTTCAGTTACAGATTCGAAGGTTCTGAATTCTGATAACCCCTTTCAAACAAGTTTCAGGCCAGGATATAGGACTAAAGTGGCATCTTTTGGATGAACCATGGAGGAGCCAGGAGGGCAATATAATTTTGCTGGCTCTTGGTCTTAGTGGTTTTAGATAAGTATCAGCCATGGTATCCTATTGACTGCCTGTACGGATTAGATATGGGAGACACTATACTTTTCTTTCTCCATTGTCAGTTCCAATTGATGTTGGAGGGATGGGAATTTGAAACTGGCACCCGATATCTGGTATACCACAAGGCTATAGACTCTTGCCTGTTCTGTTTCACATCTATATGAAGCTATTGAATGAAGTCATCCACCACTTCTTGAGGCTGTCTCAGTATCTAGATTCTAGAAGGTTAAGGGTCAAGCTGGGGAGAAAGACACTCAAGTTCAAAGTTTTTCATAGTTTTTCTGGATCCAACGAAGAGATGCTCATAAAGGCCATACAAAACATTCACTTCAATTAATCATTGAGTATTATGGAAAGAATGGCTGCAGCATTGATATTCCAGGAAATCAAAACTTCCCCTTGTGTTAACTGCTGAAGAACAAATTTCATGATCCTCCATTATTGTAGCAAGGCAGTGTATTTGAATGAATTATTTTTGTATAGTTCATTGGATATGAATTCACTATTTTTTAAAAGATTAATTAGCATGTTATAGGATACACATAAAACTGCATAAAATTAAAATTTGTAATATTAATTTCAGAGAACGTGTGATGAGTACTTATCCTAAAATGCACCATGCTGTACATCCCAGCTCCCAATATAAAAATTGTTTAAGTTGCTCTTCTCTTAGTGATGTTGAAATGCTGAAGACACAACCTAGTTATAATCAGTAATTCTGATGGAAGATATAAAGGAGTTTTGTCAAGATACTTCTCCTTAACAGACTTTCCAGATTAGTTTTTGTGCTGCATTGTATCAAAGTGAGAATTGCACAACTGTATGTCAATCTCTAGCAACCAACTAAAATGCACAGGTATATCACTAAAACATTTTAATATATTAACATTATTAAAGTTTTCAAATAGCTCTGTTGCCCTCATTGCAAAAATCAAGGAAGAGACCAATTCATAATGAAATTCACTGGCTGCAGTCAAGGATATACAAGGAGACCTAATTCAAAAGTTTCTGTTGATCTTGGTGGGCAGTGTTTTATTCAATTATTTGCGATAGTAGTGAATATTATTCATCAAAGACAGCACACTTAAGTCATATTTTTTAGGTCTCAATAAGGATTGTCAGGCAATTTCTGAAGTCTTAGGAAAAGATTGTCTACTGGGATAGTTGGAAACAAGTATATGTTACTTGGAAATCTTCTTTGAAAGTTAGTTGGTCTAGTAAAGGCACCAAATTAGAATAGGAGGTCATGAGTTCTAGTCTCTCAGGCATGAAAGGTGACTGGGCAAGTTACTCTCAGCCCAACCTATCTCAGGGTTGTTGTGAGAAAAATAGGAAGTAGTATGTTCATGGTGAAATGGGCAGCCAACAATTTTAATAAATAATGCCACTATAAGTTATTTTTACAAAATAATTTAAGATGAGATATAAATCCACATATAAATGAAATAAATATGGTTCCAAATAGATGGAGATTATATAAGCGAAGACAAAAGTTAAAATCCATTGCAATGGATAGTAGCCAGGAGATACACTATAGACACTAGCAAACCTTTTTACTATGGAAGGTTTTATAACCTGGCTAATAAGGTACATTTAACAAAAAAAATTGTAAGCTTTTAGCTCTCTATATTAAAATTAGAAGACCCTGCCAGTGAATGTATGTCATTTTGGCACTTTATATATGAAGGTAAATTATATACATAAAGCAATAATCGAACCAAAAGCTGCAATTAAAAAGTAGTGAACAACAAAAACATTTAGTTTTAAGACTTGTATATAGAACAGGTCATGTTTCGGGTCATATTTATGCAGAAATATTGAACATGCAAAAGGATTCACAAACTTTTAAACACCACTGTATAAATCAGCATCCTCGAACTCAGCCACAGCAGTATTTTTTCGCATCTCTAGAAGTTAGATTACAGAAAGATTGGTTGATGCTATATCTGTGATGCTGAAAAGTTTGGAACAATCCCAGCTGGTTTTGTTTGAGGGGGAAAACCTTTTTATTTGTGAAGCAACTTTAAGTTCCTGTTACTCTCTTATACTCCCAAGGATAGAAAATTAGCTGTCAGCCTCACTATGCCATAATTGTTAATTAAGCTGATCAAGTCACTGCAAAGTGCTCAAAACTATGTACCAATTATATTTGTCTATTTCAATATATGTGTGAAAGTAAGCTTTTCAGGAAAATTAGAAATGCATTCAAAATACATTAAATTCCATATATGCAAAAAAAAAAAAAAAAAAAAAGATGGAGGAACCTGTTCATTGCAACAGCAGGTATTTGGGGTATAATTTTTGTGAATTATATCTAATTCTGTTTTCAAAATTCCAGTTCAGCAATTGAGTTTTTAAAGTATTGGGCTAATTTATTTTCCCTTTTTTATACAGAGCTATGAAGCCAAATGATGACTTTTTCTGTTTAATGTAGATTGAAGAGAATGGTTACTGGTTGATGGACATCTCTTTTCCTTAAAATTTAAAAATCTATCCCACATGATTAGAAATATGCTATCATTGTTAATAATAAGTTCCATTACATTCTTCTAGATAAATTATGATTGGTATATGAACTGTTAAAGCAATATAACAATACTTTAAAAAGCTGCTTCTAAAACTGCAGAACCAGTACTTTTTGTAAGCAGAGACACTGGCTAATTGTCACAAGTCAATTATTGGTATTGTTAGAAAACAACAAAGTTGCTCAAGAAAGGAAGATTTTTTTCCCCATAAACTTAGATGACCATCCCTTATGTAATGTATTCCCCAACTCTCAGATTTCTAATTGCATACTTATAACCCACTGCTAAAATATTTCAATAAATGTTTCTTAAATATAATAATGTAAATCATCATAGACTAGAATATCTTTATTGTCACTGTGTAACTCACAACAAAATTAAGTTATCATAGGTATTATAAAAGTAAAAGTAATATATATTTAACCACTTCATCTAGACTAATATGGGTGCAAGAAACTTATTTTCTAGAGGATGTCTGCTCATGTCTGCTTTATTGTTTACTTCTACCCCTAAAGTTCTTTTCTGTTTGACAATCAGATGTCTGCTTATGCATGAATGTACACGTCAGCATCTGAAGGAGGCTAGGACATAACACTTAGAACACAGGAAGTGAGTTTTTCTCTCTCTTAGTCACTTCTTAAATATATGAAAACCAGTTTATGATTTAATGAACATATTATATGCATACTGAAAAATATGTATTTTAAGCTGCCAACATGATTAAGAAACAAACATTAATATATAATATTAAAACAATTACATCATCTACAAAGACAAGAAAATGATTTCTCAGAAAAAGCTGCACAATTTCAGAAATTCCATATAAGTTAAAAACATGCACTGAATTGAAAGCTAAGGCTGTTGTCTCCTACTTGCTGACAAAATAATTGTCTGAAAGGGACATAAACTTTCTCTACTCTATCAAAGTTAGCTTCCTAATACAATTTCATATAGTAAAAAAAAAATCATTTGGTTCAGTAACATATATTTCACTTAAAATATTTCATGGACAAAGCAGCAACAATATCTTTGTATGGAGTGTCTGAATCTGACTTGGTCCGAGGGAGATGGCATAATTTACAGAAAGCAGGAGAGCGCAGCAGAAGGTTATGTGAAAGGCCTATGAAGCTGGAAGATACCCAATACAAAGCTAGTATCTGAAACAAAAGAAAAAGAAAAAGGACATATTAATTTTAACAAAGTGAATAAAAGTAGTATTATTGCCAAGTAAATACTCGCCTTAACATCCCTCATTAAGAATGTCCACAAGTGAAAAAAAAAAAAGCTTGAATAAAGTATTATCCCATTTTCCTCCTAGGAATTCAGAATGATAAACAAGGTGTATACTCCTCTAATTTTATCTTTATGTGTCATATATTAGGATGAGGAATAGTGAATAATCCAGTCTGTTTAGTATGACTGAAATATCCAGCAATATCTACACAGGAAGCCATCTTAAAAATTGAGGTTCGTAAACTATAGTAAACTATATAAACTATATAAACTATACACACAGCATTTGAAATTATTGATTTTAATATGTCAGACTGTTTTCTTCACATTTGTTATGTAGCATTAAAATTCACAACCGTTTATCACTAATCAGCTTGTATAAATTTTAGATCCTACCTTGACTGACTCAAAAAGACATTCCTCCAAGTGGGTCATTTATATGGCAAAACAATATGCATAATAATGTGCAGCAAGATTTAATGTCTTATTTTATGATCTCTAAATCGGGTCCCCAACCCCCGATCCATGGACTGGCACTGGTCTGCAGCATGCCAGAAATCGGACTGTGCAACAAGCAAAGCCCCAACTGCAGGATGCATATGAAGCCATGTCCCCTCTGGTCTGTGGAAAAACCTCTCTCCACGGAACCAGTCCCTGGTGCCCAAAACGTTGGGGGCTGCTGCTCTAGATGATTTCCAAATTCCATCTGTGGCACATATATCACTAGTTGGGCACAATGATTTGGTGAGAGGAAGGTTTGAATTCAAATCCCTACTACGCCGTCACACAATATAGGAAACACTTAACACTATAAGTATTGATAAGGTAGCAATACCAATCTAAAATAACAATAGCATTTAGACTTATATACAGCTTCATAGTGCTTTACAGCCCTCTCTAAGCGTTTTAAAGTCAGCCTATTGCCCCCAACAATCTGAGTCCTCATTTTACCGACCTCGGAAGGATGGAAGGCTGAATCAACCTTGAGCCAGTGGGAATCGAACTACCAAACTACTGGTTTTGCAAAGAAAAAACAATATTCTTAATATAATTCCCCTAACATTTAGATCAAGTCTCTCACTGTTGGAAGTAAAGACCATTTGCAGCTAATATAATATACTGTACTAACAAACTTACTGATGGAACATTTGAAGCAATGGGGATCATTAACACAGAGGCTGCTCGAAAAATGTTGGTAGCATACTTCCAAAACCGGGATGTTTCAGTTTTTCTTAAACTAAAAATCTGGAAAGACAAATTAGAAACAGCAAAAAATCAGCTAGGGTTATATTTACTGAATAATGTTCTGGACAAATTAGCTAATTATTTCCATATTTACACTTTTTTAGAGCCATAGTATTCCACAGTACGATGGAGGGCCTTATGACAGGGAATTACAAGTCAAAAATTAGAGATTTTTCTAATCAAACACAATAATAGAAATACAGAAATGATCACACGTAAAATTTTTGTTAACTTGCACAACTGAGAAGATATTGATGTATCTTCTGAGGTACTGATGCCAAGTAAGAACTTAAAGTTCAATTGACAGAACCCATTCTATTATGATTTTGTATGTATTTTTAGGTCCATGTTTTTTCATTAAACAAACCTTAACAGTATAAAATATGTTTACCAAGTATCTTTTAAAGTTCATTTACAAAACTAACATTTTAAAATTCCCAGCTGTGTTTTTTATACCAAACTACTCATCACATGTAAAACTACACATGCTGCCAACTTAAACAATTTCCTTTCTTTGGGCAAAATTACTCTGCATCTAGTACTGTGAATGAATTTTGTAGTCACTTGTTTTGAAGTCTCACAACAGGCTGTCATATTTATGCCAATTATTACGACCCGGAATGTCTGAGCTATTTTCAAACTAAGGACTCAAGGTTAATCTCTACAGTATAAGAAATATATAACCATTGGCAATGATATCCACACATACTAAAGCAGTTTGTTCCTAATGTAGCTACATGAACGTTACAGAGATACGGACTGCAGGTCTACAAATTAAACCTATGTAGGCAACCATCTAGCTCAGGGCTTTTCAACCTTTTCACCGATTGTACCACTTTAGGATAACGCAATATTCAAGTACCACCAGTCAACTAAGGAGTCAAAAACTCGATGACCAAAAAAACCCGAACAAAGTGATAAAGTACAGGCAGTCCTTGACTTACAACAGTTTGCTTAGTGACTGTTCAAAGTTACAACAGCAGTGAAAAGTGACTTATGACCATTTTTCACACTTATGACCGTTGCAGCATCCCCGGGGTCATGTGATTTACATTCAGATGCTTGGCAATTGATTCATATTTCTGATGGTCAGTGTCCCAGGGTCATGTGATCCCCTTTTGCAATCTTTTGACAAGCAAAGCCAATGGCTGGGGGGCACTTGTGGGGGAGCAGGTGGGGCTAGGGAGAGGGATCCAGGGGAGAGGGATCCAGGGGAGTGGAGTGAAACTGAGATGGACACCAGGGCATGGTCCAATAGAGGAGCCTCACTGTCCCTCTGGGGCTGCACAGGGGACTCCTAGATGGTGGCGCAGGCTGCCCAGAGCCCTGGGCAGCAGAGGGCAAGCGCCCAACCCAGTCCTCAAGCTCCTGGAGCACTAGGACCCTGCAGCTCAATCCAGTCCAATCCCCCTTTCCTGAGGGGGCGCTGGCTGCACTTACCTCCTCCTCGAGGCTGCTACTGTGCTCACTCTCCTTGACCAGGTTGCTCATAGTGGATGCAGGAGACCAAAGTGTGTGAGTCAGAGGGAGGCCCACTCCCTCTTCATGCGAGGAGACCTGGCTTTATAACCAAAGCATCCATTGCAATAGGATGGGAGACCACCAGATTAGGCCAGGAGGAAGGGTCAAGGGGATGGCGAAAGGGCAGCAGGGCTGCTGGTAGCCAAGTACTAAGGCAGGACTTCCCTCAGAGTCTCCCTTCCTCTCATTATAATCTCCTTCCTTCTTCCCTTTTCTTTTTTTCCTTTCCTCTTCATTCTTTCTTTTTTCTTCCTTTCCCTCTTTCCTTCTTTTTCCTTCCTTGCTCTCTTTCCTTCTTTTTCTTTTCCTCTTTCCTTTTCTCCTTTCCAGTCCCTTCTTGGATACTCAAATGCAAAAGGGAAACATTTCTCAATGCCCCCTTGCCTTGTGATCAAATGCCACTTTTGCTAGAAGTTTGTGGCTACTTAAAAGATTGAGAATAAACCAGGCTCAGTTTATCCCATGCTTGCATTTAGTGGGGACATCCATAGACAACAGTACAGCAAAACTGTCCAAATGGTGGCTGAGATAATTGATCAGAGCTCCTCCATTTTTTATGTGCCACAGCATTAGCATTTAGGAACAAAGGTAGCTTAGTTGCTTATTAATACATAATCTTTAAAGGGCTCCCTTGTAGGGACCCTGCCTTGGTCTAACTGAGACTGGAAATATAGCAAAGGAAAATATTTTCCCCACTCTGCTTTGTCCTGTTTTCCCCACTGGAAATGGCTGTTAGCAACACACAAGGAAGGGATACTTGAAGAACTCACAATTCAAGAATACCAATGTTAACTTGGATTGCCAACAAAGTTCTGTCTGTGACAAAACAGAACACAAAATTGCTTTCTCCTTCAAACCAGGGCATTTCCCTCCCTCCCTCCTTCCTTCTTGCTCAGAAAAGGATGATGTGAGGTGGGGAGATTGCCAGCACTGCTGGTTGCCATGCTGCCGCCAGCCATTGCTATCCCACGCAGGCAGGGGCGTCCCAGTGAAAGAGAAGCCTGGTGGCCATGAGGCTAGGTCAGCAAGTGGGCATGGCACTGATCTACCGGTGGGGGCCATCAAAGCTGGAATGCGCTCAGCCTTAGATCCATGGGGCAGTCCTGAAGCCAGCGAGCCCCCATTGTCTCTGCCCCTCCAGGGGTGCACAGAAAAGGCGGCGAGTGCACAAGCCCTGGCGTCCTGGGAGAAAGGGAAATACTTCACTTACCTTTTTCCTTTCTCAGTGGTCAGCAGAGACGGTCAGCAGGGATGCCGGGTGCTCGCTGCCTCCTCTTCACGCACCCAGGGGCAGGGGCTGCCCCTTGCTGCCCCTTTCCCACCAAAACCTTTTATATCCTCTCCTCTCCCCCCTCCTCCTCAGTGCACCTCCAGCTTCCGGAAACTCTGATCAGCTGGAGCCTGGCGCTGATCCTGGCACTTCTGCCAAGCTCCGACAGCCCTGCAGCTCCAGCAGTTTCTCCCTTGGGCTTATGTGGCGCTGTTGCCGCTTCAGCTCATTCTTCTCTGCCCCGTTACCATTTCTCTAGGATGGTCATGTGCCACCTGCCAGGTGCCAAAATACCTGGTACACGTACCTCCGGTTGAAAAGCCCTGATCTAGTTATTTAGATCAACTATCTACATACAATCTGCCCTGGAAATTAAGATAAATTCTGTCTATGAGATCTGGAATTAGATAACTTGTTTATAATAAACAAGGACAAGTATAAAAAATGGAAAGGGGCACATAGCTAAGGAAGAATAAAAGCAAATATGAAGTGAGGAAAGCTAAGGCTCAAAATGAACTAAGGCTTGCAACAAAAGTCAAGGATAACAAAAAAAAGCTTCTTTAAACATGTAAAAAGCAAGAAAAAAGACAAGGAAACGATTGGTCCATTGGGAGAAAGTGGCAAGAAGGTGACAAGCAACAGGGAGAAAGCAGAACTACTCAACTCATTTTTTGATTGACGCCCACAACCACATTCCAATGGACATAGTGAGGGGACACTATGTGATAAAATAAGAACATGGTCTGACCCAATCTTGGTTACTATTAAGTATCCCTCTTACAGCTTCAGTGCGCTTGCCATCGTCTATATTAATTTTGTTTACAATTTGTTAATTTTAATGTAATTTATTTAATTTTTATGAGCAGCCCAGAGTAGTTGAGAGTCATGCAATATACAAATTTAATAAATTATGTCTATGTCTAAGGTGCTATCTGAATCTTAAATCTACAATATAGTCAGCAGCAGCAGTCACTGCACTTCTTATAACATTCATCTTGTCAGGAATTATTGAAATCAAGCAAAAGCATACAATTTCCAAATGAAAAATAAATATAAAGGTGCTCCTGGGATAGCATCTTGATATTTCACCAAGGTCTGAAAGGTAGGAGTGCAAATACCAGCACTAACTTTATTTCATTTACTATTATCCTCCTCTCTGTACAATATAACTTGTTTAATAATTGGCTGTTTCTAATTCTATAGGTACTGTAGACACTGTGCTTACTTCTAAATATTTCCTGTTTAGTGTTTTGAAGACTGTGGGGAGCCAGTATTAATTTAGAATTATATAGACAGAATAAATAAATTATAAGCTGCTATGCTACTTGCAGTACAACAAGTTCTAATCTAATTTACCCAATGATTTTATAATAGATCTAATACCTCTACTATCAGTAGATTGAGAAGTCCAAGAGTGATTGGCAAAATCCAAGTTGAGTCAGGTAAAGTGAGATCCTTAAACCAGAGTATGCCTCCTGTGGAAAACTGCTGCTGAATTAAAAGCCCTATTGAAAATACACAAATAATTGGCATATTATTATTATTGTAAATATGGCAAATACTTTACAGCATTGATATAGAATGGATACAATGAATTTAAACTAGGAATTTAAACTAGGAATTGCAAAAAGGACTAGCAACAGCAACTTCTGCATGTTGGCTCTTTCCTAATGAATAAGATCTATAACCACTAGAGCTAGATCTACCAATGGGTTAGACCAGGGGTAGGCAACCTTGGCTCTTTTATGACTTGTGGACTTCAACTCCCAGAATTCCTGAGCCAGTATGGCTCAGCTTGGAAACTCTCCCTTTCCCCTCAGCATAGCTGGCTCAGCTGGGAGTTGAAGTCCATGAGTCATAAAAAAGCTAAGATTGCCTACCCCTGGGTTAGACTAAAGCAATAGTTGAGAAGTCACTGCAATTTTTCTTTTAAATTCAGATTTTTGAATTACATAACTTCACTAATAATTATGCTTACACGTTTTACATGTTAAATATTATTCAACAGCTTCCAAGGTAAATAGGTCATTTAACACAGACCTTTATTATTATTGGATCTCTGTCTGTCTATCTGTCTGTCTGTCACGCACACAAACATAGAGTAATGCTTCTGCCTCCTAATTCCTCACGACACCCCTTTCAGGTGGTTTGAGTTGAGAGAGCCAGTCAGTTTTCATGCCTATATAGGCAGTGTTTTTCAATCAGTATTGACTCCTGTGCCTGCCTGGACAAGTCCCTGCAGTTTTCTTGACAAGCTTTCAGAAGTGGTTTGCCATTACCTACTTCCCAGGATTAAAAGAAAGTGACTGGCTTAAAGTCACTTTGCTAGCTTTGCAACCATAGTGAAATTAGAATTTATAGTCCTCCAATTTTTAGCATGAGGTTTTAACCACTACACCAAATTGGCTCACTATGCAAAGCATTTTGCTGCACCAGATAAAAACTGTATATAATATTCAATAAATAGCTTTTGCTGATTATCTCTTGTTGCTCTACTATAATGCACTAAAACTTGAATAATTATGTTGGATATTGTTTATACTTCTCTCCTCCCCATGCATTGGTTTCAATAAGAGATATTACATTTCTTTCATTTCTTATTCAAATCTATATTATGAAGAGCTTTTTACCCATAACATGTACATACTTATATACATATTACATAAATTACATATTTGCATACATATTATATAATTATAATTATTATATAATTATATATTAAATATCGCATTTATACCCTGCAGCAATTGCTTTTGGCAGCATACATAAAAACAGTAACTAACAATACAAATTAAAATTACAATAAAAAATACAGAAAGAAGTTAGATAGCATCGGGTATCAATCCCCAAAATTCTTTGGAGAAAAGCTCTGGTTTTAGAAATTTTGGAATTTTAATAAGATACACTTCCCACAGGGACCACTCCAGAGGACCAATCCAATGATGGAAAACACCTTCAGGCCTTGGCCCACCTATCCTCCCAAAAATGTAGGACACTAGTTGTTTCTCCTAGGATTATCAAAAGGGTTAGACTGATTTTCAAACAGTTAAATCTGAATTTCTAAACATATATTCAAAGTACTTGTAATTTTTTTTACTATACTATACATATTCATATTAAATTTGTTAGTTTATATATATATATGTGACTTGATAGTAGAAAGCTGGCAGGAAATTGCTTAATGATCAAGGGATTCAGTGTATGACTGCATCATTTAGTAATGGAAACTTCTGGTCCTAATTGCTATTGTAAATCAAGGATTTTGTATAGTTTAGTTTATTGATTAACCCATACGCCATATCAAATACAGACTTTCAAACACAAATTATTAATAAAATCCTATAAAAACAATTTAAAATGAAATTGAAATAAAATACAATAATTTAATAAATAAGATAAAATTATATCTCGGTATCACCCCTACAATCTACCCCAATCAGGCTAACATATGCCAATCTCAACCAAACCATTTTATTCAAGTACTGCCATTTTCAATATTGTTTTCAGATTCTGGCCGCACATAAGATATGTTGTTCTAATATGGGGTTCCCAATAGGTCATTCATTTAATATATGAACCAAGGTATTTGTCTCTCACCCTCTTACACAAACAACAATCAATAGTATGTGAGTCATGTCTTCTACCTCTACCGCTCCGCAAATGCAGATATGTCCATCATATGGTATAGAATAGAACCTCCCATATCTGACCATTGTATCAAGCAGTTTGAATCTTGCTCACGTAAATATCTCCCTAAAATGTTTAGGCAATTGTAACTTTAAATAGCTGTCTGTTTGAAAAGTAAGTTTATATTTATTCAGCCATTTTAAGTTATCAGCCTTACTAAAAGTGGCTATATCATTTGTGCTTCTATGTCCATGATTCCTTGAGCAGCCTGTTCTACTGTTCCACAAGAGACAAGAGGGCCACAGCTTCTTACAAAATTTGTCAGTTTAGTAATCCAAGAGGTTTGTAATCGTGATTTTATCTGCTCTACTAAACATAACTTAGAGAGTCTATCAATCTCCATTTCATTGATTTTGTACCAGTAATTATATGTTCTGCTTTTAGACAGTGCATGAAATGTATAATTCAGCTCTAACTGCTGCAGATGTCCTTAGATATACACGTAAAATACATCTCAGGTGCTGGGACTGTGTTTGTTCTAATATAGTAGAATGTAGACCCCCCAAACCTCTGCTCCATACAAGACCATAGGGGTAACCTTGGCTTTATTTACTTTAATTAATGGGGATAGGGACCCTGGGTAACTATGATTGTTTAATTTAAGCAGTAAATTCAAATGAGCTTTTGCTCCAAGTGCATTCTGTTGATGATGGCAAATTCAACATCCAGTCTTGGAAAAAGTTACACCTAAATATAAGGTGTTAACCTGTTCAATAGGTTCACCACCTAATTGCCATCTATGTCTGATGATGTTTTCCAAACATTATAATTTTTACAAATATTTCATTGATTTTCTATTTTTACAATCAAGTACTTAACAGATGTGTTGTCTGAGTCCATTAATATTCAGTGGTATATATTATCTTCTTCAATCTAGATCCAATACTGCACCATCAAATATTTCCTATCTTCTTCCAGTAGTACCTATTTTCCAGCACTAAGCAAATACAATTCTTATTGTTATGAGTAAATATACAATTGAATATCAACATCTTTGTTACATTTTTCTCATATCAATAATATCAGTTTTAGATTACTTTTCTAACCAAAACATATCTTAATTGCATTTTCACTTAATATGCTCAATCAATTTCCTGCTTTTGCTTTTTTAATTTTAATTTCCCATCAGTGTTCAAAATGTCTCTATTGTTTATAATTTCAAAGTAAGTTATATTTGGGTAACCAAAAGCTTCCCTTATTCAAACTTCTTAGTGTTTTCCTGTTTCCCTTCTTATACCAAAATCTAACATTTTAGTTACACAAAGGGAAAAAACAAACCAACCTATCAAAAACAGTACCGTAAAAATCGTATTAGAAACACAAGTTAAGACAAGCAAGAAAATGGTAAGATAACACCTGTCTACCCTAGACAATTTCAAATCATCCAGATTAGATGGATTACACCCCAAGGTTCTCAAGGAACAGGCAGATGTGATCTCAGAACCACTGAACTATATCTTTCAAAGATCCTGGAGCACTGGGGAACTATCAGAGGACTGGAAAAGACCTGTTGTAGTTCCCATCTTCCAAAAAGGAAAAAAAAATGGATCCAGAAAACTACAGACATATCAGCCTGACCTCAATACCTGGGAAGATTCTGGAAAACATAATCAAGCAATAAATCAGCAAACACCTAGAGGCAAACAAAGTCATTACTAAAAGCCAACATGGGTTTGTCAAAAACAGATCATGCCAGACAAATCTTATTGTATTCTTTGACCAAGTGACAAAATTAGTGGACCAGAGGAATGCTGTGGATTTAATTTAGTTGGACTTCAGTAAGGCATTTGATAACATAGACCACAACCTACTACTTGGTAAGATAGAAAAATGTGGGTTAGAGAGCATCATCACCAGATGGGTTCATAGGTGACTGATCGGCTGTACTCCGAGTGTGATCCTCAATGGAACTGCGTCTACATGGAAGGAAGTGTGTAGTGGGGCGCCCCAGAGCTCTGTTCTGGGCCCAGTGCTCTTCAACATCTTCATCAATGTTTTGGATGAGAGGATAGATGGGGAACTCATCAAATTTGCAGACGACACCAAGCTGGCAGGAATAGCCAACACTCCAGAAGATAGACTTAAGATACAGAAGGATCTTGACAGACTTGAACATTGGGCACTATCTAACAAAACACAATTCAATAGTGAAAAAAGTAAGGTTCTCCAGCATGAGGATGGATAATCCACAGATTGGGTTTCCTGAAGTCCCTTCTACCCAACAGACTAAGTCTGAGAGTTAGCCACGCCTCTCGCCGGGTCATGTTGTTCCAGTTCCGACTTAATCTTACACCCAGCAAGACGCATTGGTTCCTCTCAGCTAGTCAGGTTGTATTGTTCCCTGTATTACCATCCGTGTATTATCCTTCCTCTTCTGTAGAAGTTTTTGGTTTATTCCCTTTTGCAAGACTCAATGTAAACTGTTCTTCCGCCCTTCCCTCCCTCCACCCCCCTTGTCTCTTTGGCTGCTCAAGCCACGGAACCGAGCCACGGAGCTGCCGATCGCTCCAGCTGATCAGCGGAGCTCCGTGGAGGCCCCAAACACTGGCAGATCGGCTGGGCTTCGGCTCAACGATCTCTGCAGCCTGCGGATCGCCGCGCTGCTGCCGGCTGCCATTTTAGGTGCCCGGTTTGAAGGAGCTGCTTAGGCAGTGAGAAGTGCCTTTTCTCCTGCCTTTATTCTTGGGAAAAAAGGAGGGGCTGAGGGAGTTTTCAGGTGGTTGTTTAGGCATATATAACATAGCAAATTTGCCTGCCCCAGTCCGGAGTCCTCTGGCCTCCAAATCTCTTCACGTGCTCGGAGCCACCATTTTGGATT